TAGCCACAGCCACCCTGGGGCGCACTGACAGAGGCGAGGCTGCCGGACACTGGCGCCACCGGGCCCTCTGACCACCACCAGTAGACAACGGGTTTAGTGTCTTTCCCAAGGATACAACAACCGAGACTGTCCAAGACGGAACTCGAACCGGCAACCTTCTGATTACGAGCGATCGTGAATTTTCTTTTTTAAAAACATATAAACACAGTTTCTTTAAGAACCATATTTGTCAGCCCTATGACACCTGCGCATCTGTTACACTTATACAATAACAGAGTAATCGAGCAGCCATGGGACGTTAATTGCAAACATTATTGGTTTAGGATAAGGATTGATCTTAATGAATGAACTAATATTTGTAAACAGAATTGCTCTAAATATTCCAATTCCACCATCCCAGTGAATTTCTTTTATTAGAAACTCAAATATGTGAGTGTCTATAGCTCACTGAACAAAGGTTGTTGACATATATATTTAAAAGACATCACCGCATATATTGGATTAAAATCACATCAGTGTCGTTAATGAAAATTCGTACTTTGAGGTCCAGTTTTCAAACGCCATGTAAACTAATCGGTCTCGTTAGCTGGATTACAGGTGACGTTTGTTGCTGAAACAAAGTCATGAAGATGATATTAAATCACAGAGAGCCACAATTTTGCAACGCTGAAACACAGAGAGGATACTTTACTGTGAATTTCTTGCAGTATTGCTTTTAGAGAAGCCGGCAAAACGCGTGTGTTTAAAAGCAGCTGCAGCTCAGTTTAGCGCTTCCGTTGATGACGATCTTACACTGGGTAGCTAGGTATTAGCTAGCTCGTGAACTTTAACTTACCAATTTCGTGGCTCGGTACGGTCCAGGGCTGATAACATGAGAAGTCATATTTATCACGGAAGGGCAGCGCTAAGGGTTTCCTTCATTCGCTGTAGCGACGGATACTATCCATCACTCGAAGAAATATTTACGCATTTCTCGCTACAACCTTTAGTTTAGTTACGGAGAAACTCTCCACAGCCTGGCAGCTCCCCATCTGTTCAAAATTACGAGCCCTGTGCTTCTGCCACCGGATTGGATGGACGTTCTGGTCACGTGACCAGCCTCTAACGGAAGAGGGTGGAGGATCAAAACAAAAAGTGGACTGTGGGGTATTTGGTAGTAAGGCTATTTGAAAATTCTCCCAGTTGACACTAAATTTAGGTCTACAGTTAGTTACAGCTGTGTCAGCTGTAGAAAATGACTGTATTGCTATATGCTGAAAGGCCATGCAGGTGTATTTCCTCGTGTGCTACGGTACCCTTTTCTTCAGTTTTCGTTACATTGCGCATTCTTATATAATAATATTCATTAAATCACCGGCACGTAAGCTGTTAAAGTTAATTCCAGGAATTTCCCACCTCTATCATACGCTGTATTTGTGTTTTAGACCTGAAGATTCAGTAATTATAAGCCAGTGGTATAATGCATTTGTTATCTAGATGCCAATTTAAGATTTGTATAATTATACTTGTAAACCAATGCAACATCTAAAAGTATGCCTTTGACTGTTGCACTCTGATGGCTCTTAAAAACCTCATTAATCTTTGCTTTTAAACGCACTGGATGCTCCTCCTCAACCAAAAACTCAAACATATTTGACTACAAAGCCCAGCTACAGAACCAGGCTCATCACCAGAGCCTATATTTAAACTTCATGCTCTTTGCACATGGGTTTCTATTTAAAAGGTTTCTAATAAAAATAATTAATAATTATACATTTTATATAAAGATGTGAGTGTTTTACTGTTCGGACTATCCTTCTGTTCCAGCCTGTCTTAAGTGAAGGAGCAAGTCCTCCTGGGGAGGCCTTTTGCATTCACTGAGGCATGGAATTACATTAGCATATCTTTAAAAGCACTCTGTAGGGGAAATCATTTACAGCCACAAAGAGATGAAAGACAAAAAAGACAGTGGGTGTTAGAGACAATTCTAAAGGGATAGATACCAGGAGGATGTGGTTGACTCTGCCCACACAGTAATGATTCCTTCCACTTGCCTCCGAAGTTGGGAGTTGGAAGTGACATGAGTCCTAGACTGAATGCTTGGCTTTCTATCCTAATGATAGAGCCTAATGCTCTGCGATTGGCTCATTTAGCGAGTCACAAAAGCTCAATAGTAGCAGTACATATTGAAGCTTTTACAGTTTTACTGATGTTTACTTGAAATATCACCATCTTGGTTTGTTAAGTTGGGGTTGGTGGAGCTGCTCCAATTTTCTGAGTGGCAAGATATTTCCTATTTTATGCACCCTTGTATTTTTACAGTTGCATTTTTTCTATTGGTATTTGACATTGAAAATATCTGTGGCTCATTTGATGGATTAAGAGATGATAACTTTTATTCCCCAGTGGTTCCCAAACAAGATTTCCAGACAATAATCCCCCCCCCCCCAATCCTCTCACACTTTTTTCATGCGTTATCTGCTATCCAGATGTTCAGGCCACAAAGGCCCTAAAAGATGGGCTCCATAGATCAAGTCAGCAGACTAACTGAGGAAATCAGAGACTGAGATATAATTTGTCTTGGTTCCCCTTGAAGGAAGCCAGTCTGCAACTGTAACCCACCTCTGATGCACAAAGTAGACAAAACTAACATCATATGGATGAGTTACAACAGTAAAATGCTGCTTTTGGATTGCTGCATAAGTGAACATACAGTAGCTACAGCGAGGGCCTTGAGCCACTCAGGGAGAGCTGGGTCAGGAAGGGCATTCGGCATAAAAATGCCAAATAAAATGCATAGATCACTAAAATGCATCAGTGAAGGCAATCTACAGTAATGTCATATATAACAATACTTGATAGGGGTCCTTTTCAATCATTTTTAAGATTTAAGTTAGAATTCTGGGTCTGCTGTGCATGTGCTGAAAAGTGTAATATCGAGTTTCTGCTTATCATTATAGTTATTATTTAAAAAACTGAAAACGTTTCATTCACTGCGTAATGAACTGATTTAATTCATTCCCAGCCGAGAAGACTGTATTTGTGTCTTTACTGTATGACTTGAACGGAAATCGACAAGCTGTTGCTGAAATAATGAGAAAGGCTGCCCCCAGCTGGGCACAATAGGGAACTACTGCATTTTTGGAAACCTAGTCACTCTTTGGTAATTTCAGTATTTTTGTTTTTACGCTTGTTTAAGATAAGAGATAAGATAAGATAGAACTTTATTAATCCCTCGGGTGGGTTCCTCTGGGAATTTCGATTTCCAAAAAGCACAGCACCGACAGAAGTTACAGTTACAGAATGTTATATATATATACACACACACACATATATAAATACAGAGACAAATATAAATAAAATATACAAAGGGGATAAACAGAATAAATAGGAATAAAAATAAAAATACAAGTGAATTGCACATTTCAAGTATTGAGGTCTATTGCACTGTTGACTATTTACAAAAGTATTGCACAAGGTATTGTACAGTGAGGTGAAGAGGCACTACAGCTTAGTTGTTCCCCCCTCCTTTGTCCTCCTGTTTCCCCTCCCTCTCCCCTCCAGGGAGGAGTTAAACAGTCTGATGGCGTGTGGGACAAAGGAGTTTTTAAGTCTGTTAGTTCTTGTCTTTGGGAGAAGCAACCTGTCACTGAACAGACTCTTCTGGTTGTTAATGGCCGTGTGCAGAGGATGCCCAGCATTGTCCATGATGTCCATCAGTTTCTTTAATGTCCTTTTCTCTGCCACTGTCACCAGAGTGTCCAGCTTCATGCCGACCACAGAGCTAGCCCTCCTGATCAGTTTCTCCAGCCTGGATGAGTCCTTCTTTGCTGTGCTGCTCCCCCAGTACACCACAGCATAGAAAAGTACTCCAGCAACCACCGACTGGTAAAACATCCTCAGGAGCTTCCTGCAGATGTTAAAAGACCTCAGCCTCCTGAGGAAGTACAGTCGGCTTTGGGCTTTTTTATACAGGTGCTCTGTGTTGCAAGACCAGTCCAGTTTATTGTCCACCCACAGCCCGAGGTACTTGTACTTGTTGACCACCTCCTCCCCCTCTATCTGAACCGGCAGTGGACCTTCTCTGGACCTCCCGAAGTCCACAACCAGTTTATATGTCACAAAGACAAACGGGAATATTTTGGGGTATGCACTCTTCACTATAGTATTTGATTTTATTCTGTACAGTTGTGTACTGTATTTATTCTTATTATATTCAAATTTTTGCTACATAACTTTTGCACTGTCCACTTCCTGCTGTGACAAAACAAATTTAGTTTTGTAATAAAGGTTATCTTATCTTATCGTATCTTAGAGAGCGAATAAAGATCTTACAAGTGTTAAGGACGACAGCCAAAGTGCTAGTTAAAGTTGGTTTCCAATTACAATTCAGTTATGTTTTTTTTACTTCCTAGTTCAGAAATAACTTAAAATATGTCTGATCCGACAGGATTTGTGTTACTTTTTTTTTAAATAATATTTTTTGCAGGGAAAAATCTGCCGTGACCCGGATTCGAACCGGGGTTGCTGCGGCCACAACGCAGAGTACTAACCACTATACGATCACGGCGAGCTATCCGTGGGATGAGAAGCACGAGTCGTTGACAGAACCCCTATGCTCGCATAGTGGTGAAACACTAAAATCCTATTAATTATGGCCAATACGGGACCAACAGAAAAGTCATTTAGAAATTCGAATTACAGTTTTTATCAGACTTTGCTGAGCGAGCAGCAAGTTACTTCTAAAACGGTGAGAGACACGTTTGCGGTCTGTTTGCTTATGGCTCTACTTTCTTCACGTAGTAGAGTGGACATATTTTCTGTGCCTCGTGGTGTGGGCGTAGCCTACGGCGTTTTAAAAACGTATTCGCTTGCTGATTGGTCAACCGTCGTGTATTCATACGGATTCAATGCATTCTCTTTACCCATTGGTTACGGGGTCGTTATCTCTCGTTTATCATTGGTTCAATAAACAAGACGTCCGAATTTCAAACTAGATTGTCTGTCAGTGTGTTGTCGAAGGAAGCGAGAGTGAACGTTTGCTAGCTAACAAGTGTTGGGTCTAAACGGCCATTTGGAAACAGTTAACATGTAATTAATGTTAACTAAGCTGTTTTTTTCTAATTCATTTTATAAGCTACAAGATTGACTTTATTAATTACAAATGGCACAAGGCGTACATTCGGGACAGAGAGGATTTTTGGACTTCAGTCCAACAAGGAGAGACTACACAGACAAAGAGAACGATGTTCCTGTCCTGAGTTTGATCCAGTTTTCAAAGGCTCCTTTCGTAACCTTTGGGTCGGTTAAGCTGGGTACCTCCAAGTCGGCTGTTCTGAGGATTGAGAACCCTACAGAGTATGCTGCAGCGGAGGTTTCTGTTGATAAGATCCCCTCAAGTAAAGGCTTTTCAGTGGACTGCAGCACGTTCAAAATCCAGGTATGTTTTAGCTTATACAGAAAATACACGAGTACCCATTCACACACCAGATTCCAAAATCCACGGGGATTTTCATATCATTAAATACACTCTTAAAGATTTCTGTTTATAAGAGTCGGTCTTTGTTTCCAGCCTGGGGGCTCATTCACTCTGGTGGTGACCTGGACGCCAACCGAAGAAGGTGGGATCAGAGAGCTAATCGTCTTAAATGCCAGTGGTGTCCTCAAACACCAGGCTGTCCTGCTGGGGAGAGCAGAGGCACCAAAAAGGAAAAAGGTAAGCATCCACAGCTTTACACGGAGGCTCTTACAGCTAATGTTACTCTCAGATAGCTGAAGTTTTTTTTTCCGCCTTCACTTTGCAGTATGTTTTGATGAGCAGCTGCCAAGTAAGAAAGCAGCAGTGAAGACATTATTTATTCCAAAATACACTGTTAATCATCGGAGGTTATGTCAGTCACTAAACAGAAGTGAAACCATGTGAAAAGTAAAACAAAAGCATTTTTAGATCAAGACAAGTTGTTGGATATGAAATATGGTCATTGATCTGTAAATTGTAATGTGCACGTAATGACAGACTCAGTGAAAACTGAGATCTATTTATATCAGGATGTTCATCATTGTGTTGTGTCTGGCTTCAGCTTTTTTTTTTTTTTTTTAAATTTTAATGTTGCCTATTGTAACAGTGTTTTTTAACATACATTGCATCCACTGGCCTGTCTCACTTGAGGTTAAGTTAGGCTGTATGTGAATGAATGACTTTAAGCTATTTTAGGTAAAGAATATCACATTTGACCTCAAATGAGAAAATGCCTTGCCTTTTTTGTACCAACAGTAAGATACAAAAGTAAGGCTTTTGGTGATATTTGGTGAGTTCAGTGCAGTTGTGATGTGTGCTTTCAGTAATAACTGGTATGACTCTTTAGTCTGATTATTATGAGGCAGTTATAGCCTTAACTGGAGGCCTAGCTTATATGATTTGTTTTGTAGGCTGCAACTTTACACATCATTGAAAATGTGTGTGTGTGTGTGTTTTCAGAAGACCTTATGGGACACAATCAAAAGCAAGAGAGAGGGTGAAAAAATGACAACACTCAGAAGGAAGGTCGTGCACCCCCCTCTCAAGATGGCTGCCAATAAAACCTTCCAAGTGTCTCGAAATCCACAGTACAAACGAGACAAGCCACGCAGCCCGCTCGCTTCACTTAACGAGGGCAAAGGTGCCATAGAGAGGTCCCTAATCAAGCACAGCCCCGCTGGGGATCGCTGCCTGAAATCAGACAAGCAGAAAGCCTTAAATCTGAGCCAGGAGCAACAGTCTCTGGTCTTGCCAGAAAAGGAGAACGTCCAACAACTTAATAGGAACTCTCCGCTGGTTTTGCTTGTCCCGGCTGCACAGGTGGTAGACTCTGGTAGCATGTCCGCGAGCCCAGATGTCCTTGCAGGAAAACCTGAAAACAAAGATCTTACCAAAATCCTCAACAGGACGCTGTCGCCAATTGGGACGCCAGAGAGGTTTAAGAAGCTCATGCCTTGGATTGAGTCAGAAATCCCACTCCCTGCTACTGCAAAGTCTGCAGCTGCTGCTGCTGACAGTGAGTTACCTAGAAGCCCCCTCCCGTCTTTGAAAGAGGCCCTGTTTCTCATCGACTCTGATCTGATCGATGTTAACACCAGCCCTCCAGATAATAATTCGAGCTGTAACTTTTCAGATTCGCTCGAATCTAACAGTGAAAAACACGGCTGTCGACCTGACACAGATGTCCTCAAAGCGTCATCTGGTAGCCCTGAGCTGTCAGAGTCCAGCGAGCCCAGACTTACTTTCTTTGTCAGCAAAAAAGCAGAGAAAGTGAGAGAGCTGTGTGTTTCGGAGGCTGATAAACTTCCTGAAGGGACAAAAAAAGGTTCTTTCACCTCTGCCACAGTGACAAAGGGTAAGGCACCGGTGGAGGCAAATGGTTCAAGTGGAAGGAAAATAAAGAAGTCACGACGAAGGCTCCTGCAGAATACGCTGGAGCTGTCTGATGGCAGCTGTCCGTGTGAGTCAGGTCCAGAAAGTCCTAGCCTTCCTGTCATCGACTCGGACAAAGGAATCAGCCCGTGTGATGACAAACCTCAGGTCCCAGAGTTTATCTTCTCCAGCACCAGCCCGAGGCTCGCTGCCTCACCTGCACCCATCACCTTCCCTGTCTCCTCCCCTCCACCTGTGGCTCCTTCTCGCTTTTCTTTCTCAGTAACGTCCCCACCTCATTCAGTCCTTGCTCCTGTTGCTTTTACCGTCGCCTCTCCAACACCTGTGAGCTCATCTTCTCCTCATCATCATGACCTTTTGTCAAAATCTAAAGTGTACGAGCAGCCCCTAGCAGTTTTTACACCTCCTCATGTTCAGGAAGACTTGTTTCCCGTTAACGTAGTAGCGAAGAGCAAGAAGAGGAAGAGTGAGGAATTTCTGAAAACTGATGGGAAGAGTGAAGATGACAGGAAAACCAAGCAGGTAAAAAGGAGCAAGGTAGTTCCTGGGAAAACCGAGCCCTCCCGATCAGTCCAGGAGAGGAGAGGTGCATCACAAAGGCAGAGAACATCAGGTGAGCCTCCTTCAAGAAGGTTGTTCATGTCTTTGTTGAGTTGGAGGCTGTAGCTTGTGTGTCTGCTGTTTTAGATATGCTTTATACTAACAGCTCTATTATGTTCAGAGAGAGGAGGAATAAAAAAATCTAGACTATATCTCCACAAACTTTAAATCAGCTCCTTTTGAATTGTTTAAGCTACTTATGCTCAACACATTTGTTTTCTTTTTGTATCACATATTTATTTATTTATTTATTTCACTTTCAATAAAAGGGTTGCTGGTGATAGTGATATATGGCTCATGCCAGTATCGGTTGATGTTGGTATCAGCCGATGTTGTCCTTGCTGACTGATTATTAGTGGATGTCACTGGCTGATATTTATCTGTCACATCAGTTTTGCAAACTGGCTACAAAACCAGAGACAGTTCAGTTGATTTTAAAAAGATTTCATTCCCTAAACAAAGGGCTAAATGACAGACAGAAAAAATTAAATTTAGCCATCCATCATGGGAAGCTGGAGTTTCTCTCAGTCTGTCACAGGGTTGTAAAATAAAATAAGAACGGAAAAGATATCGTTATTTTAAACTTTGGTGCTGGACTCGGAGCACGGGGTGTTATTTTCAGGCCGTGTTTGTAATATTGGCAGTTTGAAGGTGAATAACCTGCTGACGGTTAATGTCCTTATATTGTGGATTTATTGAAGTCTGATGCAATTTCTATCCCTCCCCGTAGGCTCAGTTCGCTCAGTGACCGCATCATCTCTAAGGACTATGAAGTCTGCAGTTCCCGCCCAGGCTAAGCTACCACACTCCAAAGCAGTCTCACAAGGTATACAGGAATATGTTGAAAAATTGGGGTTAAATAATGCTTATAATCCTTTCTGCACTGTTACAAAAATGGATATTCGTACAACTCAGGGCTAAAGTTTTAAGTAATAAGTTAGCTTGCATACAAGTCATTCGTACGAGCTAAAAACTCTTTTCCTTGACTTTGATAGGAAATGTACCATTGGTGGGGAAAAAACAAAACAGCTTAATTAAAAGGATTGGAAAAGAGTGTGTTTAGCCTATAAAGTGACATGAAGTGCTATCATCTATCTTAATCACTTATCCAGTTCAGGGTTGCAGGGGATGGACGTAGTCCTGCTGTCACAGGGTGAATGCCAGGCTGACAGGTTGCCAGTCAATCATTTAGCTTTTTCTTATTATGGTTATCAGAGATGCTTTGAGTCACTTCATTCAATAAGCATCCTCCTTAAAGAAAATTGACTACTCCATCACAGCCATAAGACCAACACAGATTATTTTGATCTGTGTGAGTCCAAAGATAAAAGTATGGAGCTGGAAAAGGGCATAATATAACACATATAACATAATATATGTTTAACTGCAGCAAAGAACCAAATACTTCATGTGATTGTGTGCCAAGAGTGGAACTGTGGTCATTAATGTGGGAGTCAGGAGTCAAAGTGAAGTATGTGAGGGTGGTGCAAGACATGTATGAAGACATGTAGGAATTTCAGGGTGGCTGAAAGGTATGGTCAGATAGGAGTCTCTTCAACTATCTTTACCCATCACACGACTCACTATGAGCAAGGATTTGGTGACAGTGGGAAGGAAAAGCTCCCCTTTAACAGGAAGAACTTTAACTCGGCGATCTGCTGCGATTAGTTGAGGGAAGGAAGAAGAGTGAAAGTCAGTGGAAGTGTGATAGAACATACGTGTGTGTGAATGAAGGATGATACCCTGTTACGACTCATAAAGGGAGCAGCTGATGATGATGAGGATAATGGCGTCAATAACAGTTCCTTCTGTTGTTCACAGGTGCTCCATCTCGAAAGGCACCTGGTGCTCCCTCTATGAAGACAGCAAAAGTAATCGCTGTGGCACAGTCGAAGCTGAGCTTTATTAAGCCTGCACAAACAGGTGTGTGAACATTGGAAGAATCATAAACACTGTGAAATGAGCTTTGTGATTTGCTTTTATCTTTAATTTGTTTGTTTTTTGTTTTTGTACTATTTTCTTTCAGCTCTACCCAGACACCCGATGCCGTTTGCTGCCAAGAACATGTTTTACGACGAGAGGTGGATAGAGAAGCAGGAGAGGGGTTTCACATGGTGGATCAACTACGTCCTCACCCCAGATGACTTTAAGGTCAACACCGAAGTCGCCAAAGGTAACAGGCAGCAGGCTCAAACATGAGAAGATCATGGTAACGCCTTAAATATCTCTAACCTCTTAAATCTGTACCCTCCTCTTGTGTGTCTCGTGTAGTAAATGCTGTGTCCCTTGCTATGGGCGGTGACGACAAGTATAGTGTGCCCAAAGCTCCCACCAAAGAGGAGATGTCCTTCAGCACTTACACAGCCAGACGCAAGCTAAATCGCCTCCGTCGCTCCGCCTGCCAGCTGTTCACATCTGACGCCATGGTCAAGGCCATTCAGAGGCTCGAACTGGAGGTGGAGGCCCGGCGACTGCTTGTCAGGAAGGACCGCCACCTTTGGAAGGACATAGGTAAGAGTCCTGCTTAATGAAAGCTCAATGCTCTGAGATTCCTGTCACTAAGGCCTGTTCGTGTCATCTTTCAGGTGAACGTAAAAAAGTCCTCAACTGGCTCCTCTCGTACAACCCTCTGTGGTTACGGATCGGACTTGAGGTATTCTGACACATGTGTTTTCTTCTAATGTTCAGCGTTTGCCATTTCCAACAATGTTGTTATTATTTATTTATTTATTTTTACCCTGAATATTGCTCATCTTCAGACGATCTACGGAGAGCTGATCTCACTGGAAAGCAACAGCGACACCTTGGGCCTGGCTGTGTTCATCCTCCAGCGACTGCTGTGGAACCCGGACATTGCTGCAGAGTTCAGACACCCCCGAGTGCCCCACCTTTACAAAGATGGTAATTTGAGAGGATGTTGGGTCAGCGTCAGAGCTAATAGAAATACCAGGAGAGCCGAGACTTTTAGTTTAATTGAATTCAAAGTAATTAAAAATGGGGCATTGTTTGTGTGTTGATCAGCCCAGGTTTGCTTTTGAATTTCCCACTTGAGCTGTAGCACAAGTCTCGGTTTGCCTTTATCATCACCAGACAGAAACACTTTATTATAGAAAATTAACAACTTGGGCATGAGTGCAACCTTAATTAACCGACTTCTTGTTATTCCTTCGCTGACTCAAACTTTTAATTTCCTTCTAACAACACAACAACAATGATATTTTGCACTGGAATAGATGTGCTTTATATTATTAGACCGAGGAAAAAAAAGAAGTAAAATAGATGAGGAAATGGGCAGCACAACCAAATAAATATAACTAAATAATAAATATAGATACAGTGTGCATGATGCTCAATGTTATGCTGCCAGATCTATAACTGTCTGAAATGTGCAGCTGCAGTTGCTTCAGTTGATGTGATGATTATTGGATGATCATGATTATTCAAATGTTCCAAACACAAACATAATTGATTAACACTCAGGTGAAAAACAGGATGTTTCACTTTTTCTTTTCCCCTCTTCACTTTGAGTAACCGATTACTTTTTGAATGTGATTAGTTCTCATGAGGCTTAAAGATCACTTTGGATTCATTGGATTAATGTCCCAAAACCTCTAATGTTGTTTTATTCCTAAAATTAATCTGGGAACATAATGCTGAAGAGCCCAAGACAGATGACAGAGCAAAGGATGAAGGAAATACTTTCCTGATTTTGTAGATGTTTGGAATTCCTTTTTAATCCCACTTGCAATTAAATAATTCAAACAACTTGGGAGTGTAAAGACTACTTTTTAAAACAAGGATATCTTGTGATCAAAATAAGATTTCCTTTGTAAACTGGAAATTGTCTTGATTGTCACTGTATGAATGCCTGTTTACCTTTTCTCGGTTAGGCCACGAGGAGGCGCTGTCCCGCTTCACTTTGAAGAAGCTGCTGCTGCTCGTGTGTTTCCTGGACAAAGCCAAAGAGTCCCGGCTCATTGAACACGACCCCTGTCTGTTCTGTGTTGATGCTGAGTTCAAGGTACGCCAGAGACACAATGTGTCACCAACAAACATTTGTGGAAAATTACAATTTTTGTACATTGAATAAAAGCTTAAGATAGTTACTCTTTTCTTGGTATTGAATGGGAGAGCATATGATGTCATTGTGCTTTTGGAATGATGATAAAGAAAAAAAAGCTTAAATAGGTTAAAAAGATGAGTCTTGAACTGCTTTTTGAGTATACTGAGCTCATGGATCAAAGAATCGAGGAGAGAGATTTCAAGAGTAAGGGTCACGATTGCAAAGGCTCAGTTAGCTTTAGTTAGTTTTTCTTCTAGATTTAGGGATGGATAATAAGCTCTGATCAGGCGCCCCAAGAGTCCTGGTGAAAAGTTAATCTCTGTACAGATATGCTTCACCATGAAGAGGCCTGAAGATAAAAACTAGAGGTTTGAATTGAATTCGAAATTTAATGGGGAGCCAGCACAGTGAGATCTGCAGAGGTGTGACGTTAGAGGTCTCGAAGGATGTGGTAACGAGCCTCGCAGCAGCATTTTGCACAAGCTGGAGACGATCCAGGGAGGTTTTACTGAGGGAGGCGAAGAGTGACTGAAATAAAAGCATGAAAAACAGTTTCCCCTCTTCTGGTCTTTTTGGCTTGTGTTAACCTCTGTCGTGCTATGTACTGCTCAATTTTTTACATTTTTATTTAACAGGCAAGTAAAGACCTGCTGCTGGCCTTCTCAAGGGACTTCCTGAGCGGAGAGGGGATCCTCCCGCGGCACCTCAGCTACCTCGGGTTACCCGTCTCCCACGTTCAGACGCCCCTGGACGAGTTCGACTTCGCTGTGAAGAATTTGGCAGTTGACTTAAAATGTGGCGTTCGTCTAGTGTGAGTGTGTCGGCATGAATTTTAATGCGATGCTCGGATCCCAGATGCGTGTGTGCTTCTCTCAGAGGTCAGGCTCAGATAGGCAAGGGAATTGGGAGCTAAGGACTCTCAGACAAGGCGGTTTCAGACAGGGGATTTCCTTCCTTGATTTCTCACTGAAGGATTGGCTCTTTGACAGCCCTGACAGTGGTTCAGTTTGTGTCTGTGAGTCTGTTAAATAAATTTTTTTTTTTTTCAGAGCAAATCTTTGACTCCATTTTATTTGTGTCAGGTTCCCTACAGGTTATGATGCAATTTAATGTTACATATTTTTCTGTTTTGTAATTACATGGGTATTTTTTTTTTTTTTTAAATATCCTGTATTTCAAGTGGGTATGTTGCCCCTAATGTTGTCCTGTACTCTGATTGGCCAACATGTAGTTAGGGTTATAACAGCATTTAATTAAATGTATTTAAAGAATTCAAATTGACATGAGCCAGATTTAAATTGGCAAAAGCTGGATTTGACCTTGACTAGCCCTGTATGTGTGGATCAGGTTCTCATTAGATACTCGTTTATGTTCAGCTGCTGCTGCTGTGGGATTTAAATGTGTGACATAAACATTTCATTGCATGACAAATCAGTTGAAGCGATGATGATGATGATGATGGAAGCTAAGGATCATCTTTTTGCTTTAGGAGAGTGATGGAGCTCCTTGTCCAGGACTGGACTTTATCTGTGAAGCTCCGCCTCCCGGCCATCAGCCGCCTGCAGAAGGTCCACAACGTCGATGTCGCTCTACAAGTTCTCAAAAGCAAAGGGATCGACCTGAAGGACGAACGTGGTAATTAATCAATTTCTGAAAATCAAATTTGTATATACTGTTTAAGATATGAACATATTCGTTGTGTTTTATATTCAGACACTTTCTTTGGAAATCTCACTGCTATAGTTTTGCCTTGAGTGTAAACAAGTTCTATATCACCTTGTAGTCTGCTGACTTTCTTTCTTACTAAACTTTATTGAGCTTACATGAAAAGAAAATTCAGAACTTTGCTTTGATGGTATTTAAATGTTTTGTTTTTATTTTCAGGCTCAACCATTGATTCAAGAGACATTGTGGATGGACACAGAGAAAAGACGCTGAGCCTGCTGTGGAAAATCATCTTTGCATTTCATGTGTGTATGCCTTTGTTTCCCCCATTTGAGAACCCCCATCCCAATAAGTGAAGAGAGTTGATTGATATGGTGTTACTGCATCATATGTTCAGGTGGAGGTGATTCTGAATGAGGATCAGCTCAAGCAGGAGATTGGCTTTCTGAAGAAAACCCTGAGGACTAAACGGAGGCTAGCATCTCTGAAGGCCGATCGGGGTCTTCGGCAGACGCCTGCAAAAACCAGAGTCCCGTACGAACATGGCAGCACCAAAGTTACCCTGCTTATGGACTGGGTCCGTTCCGTTTGTGACTTTTACAACCTGCAGGTGAGACTAAATAGTTTAATTTTAGCTAAGAAACCAAAGAAAATAGTTTCACATTCAGAATTAAACTGATTTAATTGAGGCTTGTTTAAGTTTTATCTCTTTTACTGGTTGCTTTTACACTTTGCCCACTAACTACATTTTATTTTTTTAACTTGAGGTTGATGCACACTAAATAAAACGTTACCTTGATCTTACAAAGCTGTAATACAGTAGATTTTGGTCATTGTTTTGTGTCGCTTTTAGATTATATCTACACACTTTTCCTCATTGCTTATCATCTTCATCTTTTTATAATCTTTGCAGCTTCTTGTTTGCATTTTTTTTATAAAGAAAATAAATAAATAAATTATCTACTTTAGGCTACTAAATCTCAGTTTATTTGCAATGCATGTATTCTAACTCCTTTGCAAAGACCGCATCATGATTTAGACACAGATTTTAAGAACATGGAAGATAACCTTGTGCATTCACGTGACTTACTTTATACAATGTTACAAAGATATATTTTCACCCAGGCAGTGTAGGCGTTTACCCATTTCAATGTGCGTTGTAGGCAAGTTATCCAAACAAGGATACATTTAGCTGAACCATGGAATTCGTGGTGGGCTACATTGCTAGAGCACCCAAAACCCACAAATTTTGGATGTGGTTGAAAAACGTCTTTCAATGTCTATTTTTTTTTTTCTTTCTTTTTATAGCTTAAACCCTAAATATGCTTTTCGGTGGCATCTCAGGGCTTTCAGAAGAACAAAACGAAACAACACTGTAAATATAAATGATATTTCTGTGATGCAAAATGACAGGTTTGTTGGTTTTTGCTGACCTTTGGAATTATCATATTTGCCACAAAACGCAACCTTGACATTGTAATATATAGATATAGAGAGAGAAATTTTCAGAAAACTCTAGTTGGAAACGATAAATAAAGTCTCTCTCTGCCTGTGTGTGTGCAGGTGGAGAACTTCACCGTGACGTTCTCGGATGGCCGCGTCCTGTGCTACCTTATCCACCACTACCACCCGGGTCTCCTGCCAGAAGCGTCTGTCAGTCACCGCACCACTCAGACTGTCGAGTGCTCACCAAGAGGCCGACTGGAGCTCAGCTGCTCAGCCAGCGACTCCGACAGCTCCTTTGAGTCCCTGCCCACAGGCCCAAACGGTATGTCAGCTGTGTGCTGCAACCTTAGTGCAACCATCTGTGCCGGGGGGGATTTAAAGAGGGAAAAAAAAAAGTTCACTTGGATGTTTGTACCTCAGACATTTGTAGTCTGTCAGAACATGAAAACGGTGAATATGAAAGGAACTCTGAATTATTAAAAAAAAAAAAGAAAAAAAAAAAAAAAGAAATGTAACAAATAAATAACACAGTATGTTTATTACATTACATCTTAATTTTTAAATTTTTTTTAAGTCACGGTTACCTCAGCTTCGTGATGTCATAACATCAAAATACATACACAATACAAAAGAGAGTTGTTACTGACAGTATCTATTTATTCGCCAACAGGACCTGATTCTCCATCGCTGGAGTTTAAAGAGCTACTGAAGAACGAGAAAAGCAACTTCAAACTGGTCAACAGTGCGGTGTCTTTTCTGGGCGGTGTGCCCGCTATGATCAACCCGGCCGACATGTCCAACACTATCCCCAATGAGAAGGTGAGACCAGGTGGGAGGTGTGTCATAGCTTGCAGGAACACAGAACATTGTTTTTGGTGAAATTCATAACAACTGATTATTAATCCACATTCAGTGTGTTTTATATGTACTTAACAAAGAGAAACACATTCCCAACACTACACTAAGCTTATTCCCCCGCTAATTCCCTGCCTGCAGTCTTGTGCTACAGATGTATAAATGATCATGTGTAAAAACAATAATACAAATGTAGCTTTCTGATTCAGTAGCTCTGTGACAGATGTTGGCTTTTAAATGAATTAAGCTCACTTTACAGGAGTTGGCTGACTTTGTGGCTGCCTCACCCATGTAACCTGACTAAATTTCCGCCCTCATGAGGACAAACTCTCTTGCAATCATTTGTCTTTAAAATCTCAGGATTTGGTAAAATAAGGCTTTTAACGCCTCAATTGTAAAGATATTTAATGTACCAAAATGTGAGAGAGAATGCAGCACTGTCTTCATCCACGTAAACTGACTTGCAGGTGGTGATGTCGTACTTGTCCTTCCTGTGCGCTCGCCTGTTGGACCTACGGGACGAAACCAGAGCTGCGCGGGTCATACAGGGAGCCTGGAGGAAATACAAGCTCAAGAAAGATTTAGAACTCTACAAGGTTTGTGGTTTTTACTTATTTATCATTTAAATTAAACTCACAGTTAAGTCAAGTGTTAATGAGACCCTTTAGCCCTTTATGTCTGATACTGGCCTAATATTGGTCATGGGTAACTATGGGTGTTTGAGGTGTACTTGTCAATAAATGAACCTTGAAGACGTTGGTGGATGTAAGTCACACGTTAAAGGATCGTTAACTCTACACCCATCATGTTTGCAGACTGATACGCTTACAAAATGCTACCAAAAAAGTAACCTCTGTAGAGAAGGTTATAATGTGTTTAATGTAGAGCTGGGCGATAGAACGATAACGATATGTATCGCGATATAACTTTTACTCGATAGAGAAATTAAGCTATCGCGATAGACTTCGCCGCTCTTGTCCTCTAAAAAAAAAAAAAAAAAAAAGGTCAGCCAATCCAAATTAAGTAGCGCAGAGCCGAACCAATGACAGCCGCAGCGTCACGTCGCGTGACTTGTAACGTACAGCACAAGTGCCAAGCCGCACGTGTGTTTGTTTGGGAAGCAGCCAGCAGGTAATGGAGGAAATGAGTGTGCCGACTAGAAAAATCAACCGAGCGTGACCGAAGAGAAAACAGATGATGGTTCCAATGCCGGAGAGATTGTCGAACGGAAGAGCCATAGAAGTTCCGTAGTGTGAAGGTATTTCGGCTATTTCAAGTCTGACAAAAACAGAGTAGCGTGCACTGTAAATTGTGCTGAAAGCAAGTCTGGAAATACAATAAACTGGAGCATGCGTCACACTGTGCGCCACGTTATTGTTTCGGTGAAATGAATTTCTACAATACTGTTACTGTTAATTCTACTCTCTGCAGTGTTTAAATGCTTACATATACACACAGTTACTGTCCCTCCACACATACGACTCGGTTCTGCTTCTATGCCCCAGCTTTGTTTACTTTTTCCCACCGAGGCTTCTAGACTTCTGATTGGCCAACATTTCTGCACGGTTAGGAATCTAGCGCCACCTGCTGCTTTGGCATGTTCATAGCAGCGTTTTCTTCATTTCTGCCTTTATGTGCGGACGGGATTCTTTTTTAAAACGAAAACGGAAAATCTCCGTTTTCAAAAATACCCGTGTACGTGTGGACGTAGCCTCAGTCTCTGACTGGAAGCGCTAATTCGTCATTCGGCTTTTGTCAGACTAAAGTAACTGTTAAAACTGTTTGAAAAGCTCAGCTATACAACAAGGAGAGATTGAGAATTTCCTTTTAGTTCTCAGTTTATTTGATATTGACAAAAGTTAGTCAGTTTTGTCTGTTCTTCTGTAAAACAAACTAAGATTTATTTTTAGAATTAATATTTTGTTTCTAAGTGGAATTGACAATTTAGTCTGTTTCGTTTGTTCTATTTTGAAACTTAAACGCTTTAGCGGCTGCCTTTTGTGTAGTTTGCAATATTTGCCTTTATTTATCTGAAAAAGTCTCATGTTCCTTAAGTACATCTACCCTGTTGAACTTATTATGGGAAATAAATATTTAAATAAAAACAAGCTGCTGATTATTTCACATTTTACTTGTGAGCAACGGCACATTTAAATCTTACAAATATAGTTATTTGGCTTATATCGTGATAGATATCGTTATCGCCTGAAATGAAAAAAACATATCGTGATATGAAAAAATCTCATATCGCCCAGCTCTAGTTTAATGTTGCTTCTTGTTTCCATGCAGGAAAGAAACATGGCTGCCATGAAAATCCAAGTATTTGTGAGGAATTTTCTTCAGAGGCGCAGAGCTAAGAGGCAGAACCAGGCTGCTGTTGTCATCCAGACCTCATGGAGAGGTTATGCAGCCCGCAAAAAGCTGCGACTTAGAAAACAGGCTCAACTTCGGGCTATGCAGCATGAAGCAGCAACCGTCATCCAGGTGTGTATGTGCGTTATATATCTGAGGGTTAGAAGTGGTGTTTGACAAAGTCACATATGGCTTTGGCTTTTTGAATCTAACTAGATTCAGCTTCTCAGGTGATGGTTAATCTGACTTTGTTTCTAGTTGTGAATGACTTTGTTCAAGGACATTTTGATGTTCATGATCATCTATTAATGTGCTGTCTAGTAAACACTGTGATTACACTTCTTTTTTTTGGATAATTTTACTGTTTTGTCATATCAAGGATAAATCCAGCATAATGAAGCTACCACGTGTTTTTGTTCTTTGAATTAAATGGGTCTTATCTTGTCCTTGCAGGCTCAGTGGAGGATGTTTTCAACTATGAGGGCTTACCAGTGCCTCAGATATCATACCATTGTTGTCCAAGCACAATGGCGAATGAGGAGGGCGGCCTCCGCTTATGGGAAAATCTACTGGGCGACGACAGTCATTCAGAAGTACTCACGAGCATGGGCCATCTCAAAAAGAGACAGAGCACATTATCTCTTACTAAGGAGCGCTGTGGTAAAAATACAAAGAGGCTATAGAAGATGGAAAGCTCAGAAAATACAAAAGGAAAACTGTGCGGTCAGAGTGATACAAGCTGCTTTTAAGAAATGGTACGGAAGAAAAATGTCCCAAAGAACTGCCGCTGCTGTGAGAATCCAGTCCTGGTACAGGATGCAAAAGTGTCTCAATCAGTACAGAAAGATCAAGGGAAGTGCTTTCCTCATTCAGGCTCAGTACAGAGGCCTTGCACAGAGGCGCCTTTTTCTCACATTAAAACTGCAGCACCACTCAGCTGTTGTCATCCAGAGTGCCTTCAGAGGGCACGCTGTCAGAAAAGAAGTGTCGGAAATGAGGTGTGCTGCAGTCGTAATCCAGCGCTGGTGCAGAGCTTCCATGACAAGAGACGCGGAGAGGAAAAAGTTTGTCAGGATGAAACGCGCGGCCGTTACCATACAGGCAGCGTATCGTGGGAAAGTGGCTCGAGACTCTCTGAAAAAACAGGACAGGGCAGCAGCTGTGATCCAGGCAGCTTTTAGGAAGCACGCTGCCCGTAGGCGCTACCTGATCTTGAAAAGAGCTGCAGTTCTAATACAGCAAAAGTACAGAGCAACACTTTTGAGTCGCAAGACAAATAATGAATATAACTCTCTGAGGGCCGCTGTGCTCACTGTGCAAGCTAACTGGAGAGGCAGAGTGGACAGGAAGAGGATAGAAAAGTGGCATCAGTGTGCATCTTTTATACAGGCTTGTTATCGTCGGCACAAAGTGCAAGCAGAGTACAGAGCCAAGAGGGCAGCAGCTGTGGTTCTACAGAGCCATTACAGAGCTTATTTGGCTGGAAGGAAGATGAGGAGAGGATACCTAGAAAAGAAAGCGGCATCCATTACTCTCCAAGCTGCATTCAGAGGGATGAGAGTTAGGGCAGAGTTGAAGAAAAAGCACCAGGCAGCGACTGTCATTCAGGCTTTAGCCAGGATGTTTTTATGTAGGAAACGTTATCTTCTGCTTCACAGTGCAGCGATTGTCATCCAGAGCCGATACAGAGCTCTTTTGCTGTGCAGGGTGCAGCTAAATGAATTCAGAAAACTTAAGCAGGCGACTGTTAAGATACAAGCTGTGTTTCGGGGATTTAGAGAAAGGCGGGACTTGAAGAGGCAACATAAAGCATCCAGAGCAATCCAAGCTCACTTCAGGATGCACAGAATGCGTGTGGCTTACCTTGCCCTTAAGTGTGCCTCCATCATTATTCAGGAAAGGTACAGGGCCAAACGGCTCATGGATCAACAGATGCAGAGTTACAGAACAATGAAACATGCAGTCATAGTAATCCAAGCAGCATACCGTGGCCACAAGGCCAGGAGAAAGATTGCAAACATGCACCAAGCTGCTTCAGTCATTCAGAGAAAGTTTCTGGCCATCCGGGATAGAAAAAACTTCCTGGCTGTCAGAGTGGCAGTTTTGGCCTGTCAGCAGAGGTACAGAGCAGTAACCCTGGCAAGAAAAGCACGGCTGGACTATCTCTCAAAGAGAAGGGCAGTAGTTTGTCTACAAGCAGCTTACAGAGGATATGTAGTTCGAAAGCGGCTGTGTATTGAGCACATGGCAGCTGTAACAATTCAGTCTCAGTATAGAATGTACCAGCAGAAAAACAACTACAAGAGACTCTGCTGGGCAGCCACTGTATTGCAAACACGCTACAGAGCTAACAAAAAGATGAGAGCAGAGGTGCATGCCCTGAGTGTTAAGAAAAATGCAGCTGTTGTCTTACAAGCTGCCTTCCATGGAATGAAATCCAGACAGATGATCAAACTACAGCATCAAGCTGCCAGTGTTATCCAGAGAGCTTACAGAGCTCACTGCGAACACAGAGAGTATCTCACTCTGAAATCCTCTGTCCTGACTCTTCAGACAAGATATCGAGCCTCTGTAGCAGCAAAGAAACAGTTGCAAACATATCAGAAACTGCACAGAGCTGCTGTTGTTCTTCAGGCAGCGTACAGAGGGCAGCAGGTCAGACAGGAAGTTGCTCGTTGGCATCAAGCTGCTACTGTGATCCAGTCTGCCTTCAGAAAACACAGAGAAGTCGTCAAATTCCAGGCCATGCGTCTATCTGCCATCATCATCCAGAGACGTCATCGGGCTCGTGTTCTTCAGAGGCAAGAAAGGGAAAACTTCCTAAGAATGAGACATTCTGCTGTGGTCCTACAAGCAGCTTTCAGAGGTCATCGTGTCAGGTCTGACATTGCCAAGATGCACAGAGCAGCTACTGTCATTCAAGCAAACTTCAGGAGATATAAACTTCAATCAGAGTTCAGGCGACAACGCTGGGCAACCTGTGTCTTACAGCAGAGGTTCAGAGCTCAAAGAACCAGAAACCTTGTGGTGAAACATTATCAAGAGGTTAGAAAAGCTGCCATCATTCTACAGGCTGCATATCGTGGAATGAAATCCAGACAGATGATCAAACAAAAGCATCAAGCTGCCAGTGTTATCCAGAGAGCTTACAGAGCTCACTGCGAACACAGGGAGTATCTCACTCTGAAATCCTCTGTCCTGACTCTTCAGAGAAGATATCGAGCCTCTGTAGCAGCAAAGAAACAGTTGCAAACATATCAGAAACTGCGCAGAGCTGCTGTTGTTCTTCAGGCAGCGTACAGAGGGCAGCAGGTCAGACAGGAAGTTGCTCGTTGGCATCAAGCTGCTACTGTGATCCAGTCTGCCTTCAGAAAACACAGAGAAGTCGTCAAATTCCAGGCCATGCGTCTATCTGCCATCATCATCCAGAGACGTTATCGGGCTCGTGTTCTTCAGAGGCAAGAAAGGGAAAACTTCCTAAGAATGAGACATTCTGCTGTGGTCCTACAAGCAGCTTTCAGAGGTCATCGTGTCAGGTCTGACATTGCCAAGATGCACAGAGCAGCTACTGTCATTCAAGCAAACTTCAGGAGATATAAACTTCAATCAGAGTTCAGGCGACAACGCTGGGCAACCTGTGTCTTACAGCAGAGGTTCAGAGCTCAAAGAACCAGAAACCTTGTGGTGAAACATTATCAAGAGGTTAGAAAAGCTGCCATCATTCTACAGGCTGCATATCGTGGAATGAAATCCAGACAGATGATCAAACTACAGCATCAAGCTGCCAGTGTTATCCAGAGAGCTTACAGAGCTCACTGCGAACACAGAGAGTATCTCACTCTGAAATCCTCTGTCCTGACTCTTCAGACAAGATATCGAGCCTCTGTAGCAGCAAAGAAACAGTTGCAAACATATCAAAAACTGCGCAGAGCTGCTGTTGTTCTTCAGGCAGCGTACAGAGGGCAGCAGGTCAGACAGGAAGTTGCTCGTTGGCATCAAGCTGCTACTGTGATCCAGTCTGCCTTCAGAAAACACAGAGAAGTCGTCAAATTCCAGGCCATGCGTCTATCTGCCATCATCATCCAGAGACGTCATCGGGCTCGTGTTCTTCAGAGGCAAGAAAGGGAAAACTTCCTAAGAATGAGACATTCTGCTGTGGTCCTACAAGCAGCTTTCAGAGGTCATCGTGTCAGGTCTGACATTGCCAAGATGCACAGAGCAGCTACTGTCATTCAAGCAAACTTCAGGAGATATAAACTTCAATCAGAGTTCAGGCGACAACGCTGGGCAACCTGTGTCTTACAGCAGAGGTTCAGAGCTCAAAGAACCAGAAACCTTGTGGTGAAACATTATCAAGAGGTTAGAAAAGCTGCCATCATTCTACAGGCTGCATATCGTGGAATGAAATCCAGACAGATGATCAAACTACAGCATCAAGCTGCCAGTGTTATCCAGAGAGCTTACAGAGCTCACTGCGAACACAGAGAGTATCTCACTCTGAAATCCTCTGTCCTGACTCTTCAGACAAGATATCGAGCCTCTGTAGCAGCAAAGAAACAGTTGCAAACATATCAAAAACTGCGCAGAGCTGCTGTTGTTCTTCAGGCAGCGTACAGAGGGCAGCAGGTCAGACAGGAAGTTGCTCGTTGGCATCAAGCTGCTACTGTGATCCAGTCTGCCTTCAGAAAACACAGAGAAGTCGTCAAATTCCAGGCCATGCGTCTATCTGCCATCATCATCCAGAGACGTCATCGGGCTCGTGTTCTTCAGAGGCAAGAAAGGGAAAACTTCCTAAGAATGAGACATTCTGCTGTGGTCCTACAAGCAGCTTTCAGAGGTCATCGTGTCAGGTCTGACATTGCCAAGATGCACAGAGCAGCTACTGTCATTCAAGCAAACTTCAGGAGATATAAACTTCAATCAGAGTTCAGGCGACAACGCTGGGCAACCTGTGTCTTACAGCAGAGGTTCAGAGCTCAAAGAACCAGAAACCTTGTGGTGAAACATTATCAAGAGGTTAGAAAAGCTGCCATCATTCTACAGGCTGCATATCGTGGAATGAAATCCAGACAGATGATCAAACAAAAGCATCAAGCTGCCAGTGTTATCCAGAGAGCTTACAGAGCTCACTGCGAACACAGAGAGTATCTCACTCTGAAATCCTCTGTCCTGACTCTTCAGAGAAAATATCGAGCCTCTGTAGCAGCAAAGAAACAGTTGCAAACATATCAGAAACTGCGCAGAGCTGCTGTTGTTCTTCAGGCAGCGTACAGAGGGCAGCAGGTCAGACAGGAAGTTGCTCGTTGGCATCAAGCTGCTACTGTGATCCAGTCTGCCTTCAGAAAACACAGAGAAGTCGTCAAATTCCAGGCCATGCGTCTATCTGCCATCATCATCCAGAGACGTCATCGGGCTCGTGTTCTTCAGAGGCAAGAAAGAGCAAAGTTTTTGAAGTTTAAACAATCCGCCATAGTTCTCCAGGCAGCACTGAGAGGCTGGCGCGTCAGGAGGGATGTTAGCCTACAAAATCATGCTGCTGTTGTAATCCAGTCATACTGGAAATGTTTGGTGGAACGACGTATCTTCCAAAGAAAGAAAGATGCAGCTGTGAAACTTCAGCAGAGGATTCGAGCAGTGCAGCTCGGCAGGCAGGAGAGAAGCAAATACATCCAAGTGAGGCAAGCTGCCATCACACTTCAGAAACACTGGCAAGCCTGGATTGCAAGACAGCAGGTAAAGTTCATTTGCAGTACAAAAATAAACAGAGTACCGTAATTAAGAGGAACTGCAGCTTGTTTGGAGTCTCACAGTGTTGAAATGTGATTTGTAGTAAGCAGTCTCAATGTGTTATGTGGAGGGGAAAAAAAAGTTGCTGGTTAAATGTAAGCCAATGTTTTTCAGGTACTAAAGGCCGCTCGTGCAGAGAGGAGGCTACGTTTTACGTCGGCCATATTTCACCATCTCAGTGCCATAAAGATCCAACGAGCACTCAGAGCTCACTGGGCTTTGGAGTCCGCTAAAAGACAGATCCATTCTGTTATCACCATACAGGTAGAGTCACAAAACATCCACAGTGCTACATCTATTGAAGAGTACAACAGTTTTTACAAATGGCATCTTGATTTTTTTTTTTTTTTTTTTTTTTTAAGCGACTGGTGAGAGCGAGGCAACAGAGAAGACGCTATCTGGAGTACAAGCTGAAGGTGGCTACAGCTCAGAGAGCAGTCAGGCACTGGCTAGCTCGTCGCCACAAGGCTGCGACTGTCATCCAGCAGGCTGTCTGGAAATTCCTCCTCCTCAGGCGTCAGAAGAGGGTTCAGCAGGGTATTCTCAAGGCCCAGGTACCGTAGTCAGTGCTGAGTGTGGTAAAGATGTTGCCTGTAATTCTAAAGGGGAGAGTCGCAGATTTCCAATTCAGTCTATATTTAGGTGTCCAAAGTTCATTCAACCCTCAGTCACCTCAGTTAGAACAGCCCATTAAAGATTTGCTAAATCTTTTCTTTCTACAATGATCAGTCCATGACATTATAACTGGGAAACAATTTCAGGAGGAGGACTGTTTTTAACATCTGACTGTTGCGAACATGGCCTAATTTTACAAAGAAAATATAGGTAACACTTTATATGACAACCCATAGGTAAGCAAAGAAAGGGATGCACAGAACTCCCCTGTCCCCAGCCACCTCTTCCAGCTCATCTGAGAAACACAGATGTTCTCAGGCCAGGCAAGAGATATAAACTCTACTATATCTTCTGAGTCTGCCACGGGGCCTCGTCCTGGTGGGACAGACCTAGAACACCTTATCCAGGAGGCATTCTTATCTGCCTCCTGGATAAGAATGCCTCCTGGATAAGGCACCTCAACTGGCTCCTTTTACTGTAGAGGGTATAGCGGCTCTACAGTAACATTATTTCTAAGTAAAAAGGCCACCCATCATTCCAAGAAAGCTCATTTCTGACACTTGTATTCCTGATCTCATTCTTTAGGCCATTACCCAGAGCTTGTGACTAGGGCTGGGTGATATGGCCTAAAATCCATATCGCGATATAATTTGAAGCACGTGCGGTAACGATATATATCGCAATATATTCTTTTCTTCTGTATAACGTATTTTCCACACTATAAGGCACACATAAAATCCTTTCATTTTCTCCAAAATCGAGAGTGTGCCTTATGTATGAATTCTGGTTGTGCTTACTGACCTCAAACCGATTTGGGCGTGCAGAAATCTGTTAAAAAATGTTTTAGTACAACTTTGGTAAGCCGCACTGCTTGATGGATTGTCAGAGCATTACGGCTGCCATAGTGAGGAGCTTCGCGGAGTAATCTGGGTCCAAAACTCCTTCTGCTTCAGGTCCCAAAGTCAAATGAACACTGAGCGTTAAAAACGGTCTAAATTCTTTCATCTTTAATAAAATCATCAGCGTTGCTGCTTTACCAGGTGTAACAATTAAGTTTAACATCCAGGCTTCCATGAAAACAGAATTTCTTAAATTTAACGGAGTTAGAAGTTAACAGGAAGTTAGCTCGCTAGTTTACACCTAAACATTTCATACCATGTTCTGACAGAGATTTTTGAAACTAATTAAAACGTACAGCTCTGCTACCACTTCCAACATAAATGAAGACAGAAAACTAAACAGCAGTGGCGTTTACAGGGTTACTGAAGTTGGACTACCTGGTGTTTAATGTTGTGCTACGTGATTGCTAGCGACACAGCTATGTTAGCATAACATTAGCACAGTGAAGCTGGAGGATGAACGCCAACTTTTTTTCCACTCGATAAAAGTTAACGTGAGGGATTCTGGTGGTCAGGGACGAATGCAATCGCATGGCAGGATGCTATACACGGGCCAAACTTCAGTCAGGAGAACAACTGAGACTTTTCATCCACAATAGGTTAGTTATTAATATACTGCAACAACATGGGGATAGGAACAGCTGTGAGAGAATTCAACATAAATGAATCAAATTTACGGAAGTGGAGGACGCGCAGTTTTTGGCTTTCCCCATATTTCAAAAGTGCTTCATCTCTTTGCTATGACTGTCGCCTGGCATAATTTGCAGATGATAATGGTTGTAGCCGCTGCGATGCTTTCAACCAAAACAGGCATCATCAACATGCGGTAGAGCGGTATAGTCAAAATCTCTATCGTTGGCCAAATTTATGTTGTTTCTATCGTATATCGTTTCTATCGCCCACCCCTACTTGTGACCATAGATGAGAGTAGGGACGTAGATTGACTGGTAAATCGAGAGTTTCACTTTTACTCTCAGCTCTCTGTTCAGCACAACGGATCGGTTCAGCATCACTGCAACCATAGACCCGTCCGTGTCCCGCTCCCCTCAGTCATGAACAAGAGCCCAAGATGCTTGGGCCATGGCCTCAGACTTGGAGGTGCTGATTCTCATTCCCACCACTTTATACTTGGCCAGTGTCAGCTGGAGGCGACAGACCTGATCAAGTCAAAAGAACAACATAATCAATGAAAAGCAGAGATTCTGGGACCACAAAAGTGAAAGCCTCCTGCCACTTTGCTATGCCTACAAATTCTGTCTATAAAAATTATAAACAGAATTGGTGACAAAGGGCACCCTTGGAAGAATCCAATACCCACTGGGAATGAATCTAACTTATTGCCAGTAATGTGGACCAAGCTCTTGCAACGGTTGTATAAGGGCCGAATGGCTCATATTAACAAGCAACACACCAAGGAATCAAACCCTCTCGTCTACCGGGGGAAAAAAACTCCAATATACAGGCAGCCAGCCAAGGACATGCCAAGATACCGCTTGTCACCAAAAGCAACTTCTAGCTGGGACAGAATCCAGCCCCTGTCCAGGAGGCTGGTTCCAGAGCTCAAGCTGTGTATTGAGGTGAGCCCGGTTATATCTCTTTGGTACCTTTCAACCTCACACACCAGCTCATGCTCCTCCTCCACCAGAAAGTTGACGTTTCACCAGCCTCAGTAGCTTGGGATCAGCCCACCAGGGTCTCCCTTGACTGGCACCCGTCACACACTGCACCCAACCCCTATAGCACCCAACCCTCTCCTGTGGATGGTGGGCCTACAGGAGGAAATGCTCATTTGCCTTCTCCAGGTTGCGTCCGGTCAGGCCTCCAGGCCACCAGGGGCTCTCCTTCAGGTACCCTCCCCAGACCTGGCTCCAGGGCAGAGCTCCACTAACCTTATCCCAGGCAGGGTGAACTGTTCCCTTGATTGTGTACACATAACGGTCTTCTAAACAGCTCTTTGTCTGGTTCCTCACCCAGGACCAATTTACCATGGGAGATCCTACCAGGGGCAAAAGGCCTTTCGAGTGCATAGCCCCTGGAATTCTTGGGACACACAAACCCCTTGACTACAATAATATAGCAAATTACAGAGGAGAATTTATGTAATGCATAAGTAACGTTAATAATTTTATAACTTAAGGTATTTTATAGGAAAAAAGACAATTTATACTTTTAAGTACTGCCCAATTTCACGGAAATTTTATGGACAAGCAATTTCTCAATTTTACATCATAAATAAACTGTACTGTTCTATGGACATGTCATAGTATGGAGTAGATTAATTGTGCCTTTGTATATTATTATTATTATTATTATTATCTTTTTTTTTCTTTTTTTTTTTTACATCTTTTCTTAATATTCATCATGTTTGTGAGTATGACAGATCTTTTAAAAATAAAATTGATTTCTCCCAACCCCTGAGTTTTTGTAGGTAACTATAATGACATTGTTATTAAAAGAAAAATAAATTGAAATTCAATTTAATGATGGAGGAATCACTCCCTTAGTTGCAGGCTGTGTTTTAAAGTGTTACCAAAATTAAAAGCAACAACTTGTTATCCAGTCTTTACTTTATCCTCATCATTTTGATATTTGTTGACAATGTAGTCAGCAAAATGTTGTTACAACCTACAAAGTAAGGCAGTAACAGCCTTGCTGGGATCATTTCTTTAATTTTGCTGTTAATATTTAATACTTCTAATAACAGTTTACACTAGCAAAATGTTTGCTATGAATTGATGGAAATCAAATAATTTTATACACATTTTGCCCTGAAAATTGTTAACTTATTTAGTTTTCCAACAGTTTGAAACTAATGTGAGTTTTTGTTTTGTTTGTTTGTTTTTAATTTAATTTAATTTTAACCACTTTCTCCTTCTAGGCTCTGTGGAGAGGACACTGCTCCCGCAGATTGAATGACAATCCCAAGATTGTAAAGCTGAGGCACCGCTTACGTGTGGTCACTGCCAGTGTCCGAGAGGAAGACAAACTGTGCAATAAAACTTCATGTGCACTGGATTACCTTCTTCGTTATAAACACTTCTCGTACATTCTGGAGGCCTTGAAAAATCTTGGTAAGGCTTTTTGTTGTCTACTCGTTTCCCCTCATGCTGAGTACAAAAATGGAAAAATAGTTTTAAACAGCATTTTCCCTGCAAGTCATCCCACAGCTTTAGATGTGGCAACTTATGTAACACTAAACAGCTTAATGACAATATCTTTGGCTCACCCCACCACAGCACTGAACAAACGCCATGCAAGTTATAGTTTACTCAGCTTACGATCAGACATTATTTTCAACTGAGTGAATGAGCACACGTGAGCCATGACGAATTATTTCACATATCATTATGAGAGGCAGAAGATGCATGTAGTTCCTACCAAACATTTAGATGGTCCCAGTAATATAGTTACTTTTCACTGTGAAGTAACAGTGATTTCTGGAAGTGTTCCTGGGCCCAGGCAATGATTTCATGACACAGCCATGCTTGGTTTTAAAGCAGTGTTGCCTGAGGGCCCAAAGATGGCAGATATTCAATACTGATTTGTACTTGTGCCTCTTGCATGCTGATATTTCTCCTCATTCTAATAATCTTTAGATGAGATATTCTGTGCAATTTAACATTGAGGACCATTATAAATGAGTGAATGGACAACTCGAGAATGAGTATTTAAATTGATACCATAGACGTATCTACTAGAAATTCTTCTGAGAAACTGCCTCTTTAAAACGCTTCAGCATTTCTGGAGCATTTCTTTGTGTTTCTTGTCTTTCTAATGTGTGATGTGTAGAATCAAAACCCACTTCTGGTCTTTGAATTATGGTGGGTAATATTTTAGGGACTATTTCTACAATCACTCCCAAATCTATTAAATATTTTATAGTTTAAAATGTGTAAATATATATGTGCCTAATTGGCCAAAATGCATACTTCTTATTCATGTAAGAGTGCATCTTATGATTTGTCCTGACTGAAATCTCTTTGTGCGTGCCTCTGTGTTTGCATGTTGCATTCGTGTGCAGAAACCGCCACCAGGCTGTCCCCAGAGTGCTGCGAGCGGCTTGTGGAGAGCGGAGCCACTAACGTCATCTTCACACTAATCCGTTGCTGTAACAGGAGCGTCCCCTGCATGGACGTCATCACCTTCTCCATTCAGATACTTCTCAACCTTTCCAAGGTACTGCAGACACAGAACAGCACTTTGTATTTTATGCTTCCTCATGAAGTAATCCGGTACTCTCAGGTTATAAACATAAAAGGTAAACCGGTTAATTAGTTTAGTGTGACATTAAAGCTGAAGGTAGACAGTTGTTTATTTTTTGTTTTTGTTTTCCTACAGGCCCAACATTAGATTAAGCTGTTTAACTGTCTGTAGACACATGAAATGGAGGAGATGTTTTAGCTTATATTTTGCTATCTCCACCTCCTCCACTCCTCAGTTCCAGCATATTTAACAATGTCAGTGTCAGATTTCACCTAAGACTAAGGGTAGGACAGCAACCTCCTTGTGACTAGAAAGAAATTATAGTTTCCCATTGGTTGCATTGAATTTCTTCACATTAGGCAAAAGTTAACAAGTATTTCCACCTAGGTGTGTCACGATACTGGACATTAGTAGTCGGTACAAACAGCAGTAGAACTGAACAATTCTCACAGCCCAATTCGATACCAAAACAGAAATGATCTGAAGTGACATCTCGCATACTCGACCATAAACTGCCTCATTAAAGTCATTTTTAAAACACTGGCAGATCATTTATTTAAAATGTTAACATTGTATAGCCTACTAATGTTATATTACACTAGCATAAGCATTTAATGTTAGCCATTGCAAACATTTTAGCCAGTGAAACAAAGCTGATTTCACAGCTTTGTTGGTAATTTACATTTTGGCATAATAAAAGCAGGATAATGGTTTGGATCTTTGTAATGTTAATTGAAAAGCATTCACGCTGATCTATTCAAACTGATCTGGGAGCTATTCTTTTAGTTCACTTAGGCCACACAATTTCAGTACAGTACAGTAACATGCTTGCATACGGCTTTTTGGGAAATCAGTCCTTACTCACATTTTCGGAATTTTGGTAGGAAGTGATACAACACATATTGGTTCTGGTGACATCCCTAGTTACAGCAACCAACCTATCACACACTTACACAATGGTTTTGGGCCAGCCATTGTTTTCCTTAGTGTGACTGTAATATAAGGTGGTAACAAATACTTATTTATGTACAGATATATTAAATGCAGAGTACTTTTATACAGTATTCTCATGGCTTGTGTCATCATATAAAGGTACATAAAAGTATATAAAAGTTGGTGCTGCATCACTATCCAGTATTTCTTAAATTCAGCAGTATTTTTGGTTGCATTATTTTAAACAGTAACTTGCAAGAACACAGAGAAGATGCATTTAAAGAGCTCTATCACTTAACTCTGGTTGTCTGAAAATATCAGAACTAAAGTGTTATCAAGCTTTCCTGTTTTCTCTAAAAGCATTTCCCATTTCCTGTATATAGATCTGACCCTCTGTCAGACTGTTTGCTGTTATCGATTTCTCTCTTCTCGCTGTGAACTTTGTTCTTCTTGCAACATAATCTGCCTGACTGTGACGGGAACATGTTGGCGTGGTAGACCCAGACATCTTACTTATTTGTTTTGAATCTTCTGGCTGGAAAGGGATTGTTTAGACAAGTGGGGGTTGAATAAACCTGTAATCTGTATACTGTCGATGGTAAATGACCGTCAGCACACCCGTGCTTTTGAGAAGCTTACACTGCTGTGGATGAGGGCAGCAGCAAAACATTTGTATGGGAATGTAAAGCTTTTGGATCCAAATATGTTCCCTCACAAAAGCCACCAGACTCATTTGACAAAAACAGGTTAATTTGTACCGTTCTAAAACGTCAAACAATAGGACAAACTAATCCCTGCTTAGTTTTGAGAAATTACACCTCCCATCATTCTGTGCAGTGTTTAATGAAATGAGATTACCAGCATGGAAGCTGTCTCATGATTGTGGCTTTAACAGCTTTGCTTAAGGCCTTACATGTCATCTACAATCTATAAGAAACTGCTTTCTGTAAAGCTAATTTAACTGCAAAGTGACCATTTATGTGGATATGTAGCAGATAAAACATGTATTATGTTCACTTTTTTGTGTGTGCGTGAAGCATTAAATATGAAGAACAAAGTGGACGAGGGTGGTGTTTATTTTTGAGTGTTTCTGTCTTTTTCAGCCAAAATAGAACATGCAACAGTGGATGCGTTAGTGTTGTTTAAGTGTGCAGGACTAACATCGTCTCCCCTCCCTCCTCAGTACCACAAGACCATTGAGGCGGTGTATTCAGTGGAAAACTCTGTGGAGACGCTGCTGGACCTGCTGCAGAGATACCGGGAGAAGGCAGGGGATAAAGTGGCAGAAAAGGGTGGAAGCATCTTCACTAAGGCCTGTTTCCTTCTTGCGCTCCTGCTGCAGGACAAGCAACGCACTGAGGTCCGTAGACACTGTAACAAACAGATAACACGAGTGCATAAATACCAATATCAATGATATTTTTACACAAGAGAAAACTATTTTGCTTACTGTATTTTCTTTAGGAGGTCAAAAAGCTACCCAAGGTCTTGGATAGGATCCACAGTATTTACCGCCTCACTGCTCGCAAACACAAGATGGACACAGAAAGAACAATCATCAAGCAGAAGATGAGCGCGTCGATCAACGGGAGCTTCTTCGTTCCAGTGACGCCTCGTAAATCCCGCGCTGCACCAAAGTATGGATATTCCTGAGTTACATAATATACTGAAAGTGTGCTTGTATGTTTCCAGAGATAACTAAAAGTTTTTTGTTTTCTTTCAGGTTTGCACCAGATTGGGTTCTCAGGCGAGATAAGCTCAAAGACATTGTAGACCCCCTCAGGGCCATTCAGATGGTGGCGAACACACTGTCCATTGTGCTGTAAATAAACATGCTCATATATATATATATATATATATATATATATATATATATATATATATATATATATATATATATATATATATATATATATATATATATATATATATATATATATATATATATATATATATATATATTTTTAATCCATGATCTTCTTTTTAAAAACTTAAGAAAAGTATTGCCGTCTTATTTTTATTTTTTGTAAACCAATTCATTTTTATGTATATAATAAAATGGATTTGTCTATTAAATTGTTTCTTCTGGATCTACTACAGTGGGGAGAGGCATGCAAGGTTAACCTGTAACAGCACATGTCAGGATCGCCATTACTCCCAAAATGGCAGTTTTTACTAAAATCCCTTTTGATGTAATACCGGCCTGTGCAAACAAGAAGACAGTATGAACAGATGGGCGCAGGAGTGTGTCATTGGCTGCTGACTTGTGATTAACAAGTCCTGTGATAATCCTCCACTCACACTTAGAATGACTGAAATTTACAAAATGGACTACAGTAGGGGTTAATGGTTAAGGTGTGACAGTGGGTAAAAATGAGCCACACCCTGTTAGGTAATCATAAGCAACAGTCATTATGTGACAATAACCACTGAAGAGTTGAAAGAGCAGTAAGCAAACTAGACCAGTGAAAATTATTTTTGGCATGTTCATATAAGTTCATTTAAGGCAGCGGTCCCCAACCTTTTTTCCGCCACGGACCAAAATTTAACGGACCGGCCTTTAAGGTGTCGCGGATAAATACATCAACAACAAAAAAACTAGTATTGGTACCGAAAAAAAGATTTATTCATAACACACGTGAAAAGACCCAGAAAAACCGATTTGGCGATTAAAAACAATAACAAAATAACGCTAAAAACCGATAAAAATCCTGAAAACCTGAATGCCATAAATGTCATCAATTAGGCTGGAATAATTTGTTTCTAGTGGCTTCTATTGTAAGTGCTTTACATTTCAGCATGACATCCTGTATGTGTCCTACAATGAGGACACTTGAAGCTGGTCATTTTCTTAGAATGGAGCTAAAGATAAAACCAAAACAAAACCAAACTTTCATAAGAAATCTTTATTCTGCAGTAAGGGACATTAAAAACCTAATAATGTTATCATTAAAAATATTAAAATGTGAAGTAAGAGCAAAATGTATGTTTGATACATTCAGTCATGAGTATTTTATACTCTTATTATTCCTGTTAAGAGTATCTGGAATATGCACTTCTTACAGTGGCCATGTTACACAGTACTCTGCTCAAATGTAGGTAATGTTAGACATGAGTCTCCTGGAATTAGACCTCAGTACTGTTAAAGTTGATTTACTGACCCGTTGCTGTGTCAATAAAAGTGCAAAAAATAAGAGTGCTTCTGGTGTCTTGCTTTAAGATAAAGTCCCATATTTTTTTTGTTGTAGCTTTTTGAACAGATGGTGTCTTATTCTCAGCGATTTTTTCTAATTATTGTTCTCAGAGTTAAGATTTAATTCTTATATTTAACTCAATCAAGAAAGAAACAATTCAGTCTCTTTCCTTGTAATAAGTCAAATTTTCTTCATTTAAGCATAAATTTTAGACAGTTTTGTCTAGTTAAAAGGCATCGATTAATTTCTAGTTTTAACAATTCTAGTCAAGCAACTTTTGCTCACCACAATGGCAGATTTTTTTTCTTCTCAAAACAAGAAACTTTTGTCAGATTTAAGAATATTTGGCCTGTTTCAAGTATAACTGTTTATGCAGTGCCGGATCTCAGTGGGGGGTACACTGCGAAAACTCAAAATCTTATCAAGTATATTTGTCTTGTTTCTAGTCAAAATTTCTAATCACACTTAAAATACGAGAAATCAGCTACAGAGCAACATTTCAGTGAGATATAGGAACTTGTGAAAAAGTCTTGAAAACATATTGTTTTATTTTATTGTTTTATTTTTTGTACCTTTTTAACATTTCACAAAGTAAACTTGTTTTGTATTATGAACACATGTTTTTGTTGGCTGGTTAGAGTTACTTTAATAAATGCACGACATCTTGCATTACTTAAGAGTGCTTGTGGATTAGATTTATACATTTTAATTTTGGTCAGTGTACTTTCAAAAAATGGGAAGCATGTCTGTATGAACATATGAGTTTTACTTCTAGTGTGAAGTAGAAGAAAGCAGAAAACGGACCAAATCAGACAATCTGTGATTTATTATTCCACATCTGAAAACAGAGGATCAGAAATCATTTCAACTTTTCACTCTCGGCATGTGGGTAGGACTAACACACCACTATTACATCTCTGACGCATTGCCACAGTACCAGTAGATAATCCTCTGGTACACCTGAACTCTATTATTTCATCATGAACTAAATACTTAGTGCCACTTGATTTCAAGGTGATGTTATGCTGTCTCATTTCATCTTCATTCACAATGCAAGGCCCTGCAAGAGACAAAGATATAAGAATATTATGATAAAGATGTAAAAGAATATTATGATAAAATTATTCTTAATATTGGGGAGAACTGTAACTTACTGAGGCATCTCATGTGTCCAGTCCATTCACCATAGAGGCAGGTTTTGTAAGGTTCTCCCTCCATAATGTAGTGACTCTGACACATGTATTCAATAGTTTCATTATGGCTGTAATGCTCTTTGATGGCAGTCTTGGTGTCTCCATCCTCAAGAGCTGGAGGTATCCCACAGGGTGGAATTTCTGAAAATAAGTGAAGAGCCAAGATTGACAAAAAGATGATCACGTGGCGCAGCTGTGATACTTTCAGGAACGTTGGTATGCTGGCTTTTGAGGAAATGCTGTTCAATTATGTTTTTTCCTTCAATGAAAAATGCCTCAAAACCTTAGAAAGAAACATGTAGCTGTATTTGTTTTCCTGAGTAACTAATATTATTTTCTCATATTTATTCTATATATCGTTTACTGAAGGACATGAATAATTAAGTAATTGTCTAAAACATGCATTTGCTAATAATAAGCATTAAAAGTTTTCTTAACCATTCATTAATTTACTTAAGAAACTGTTCCCTTAATCACAAGTAGCAGATCTGAGTTTTTTTTCTTTTTGACATTTTTCAGGGAATTGAATTCATATGATGCTATAATAAGTGAATTCATTTGAAATTGAACACAGTTTCACAAATTTAGTATTTGTATCCATTCTTGCCGGGGGAGCTAGATGATTTTTGTGGGGGTGGCCAGCCTGAAAATATGATTTACACATGATTTTAAATTCAAAATCCAGAAACTCACAATTCACTTACTGTTCTGTACTACTACAAAACACTGTGTGGCTACAACACGCAACTCAATGATGTGGTCGTACATGCTACTTGCAAACTGTAATAGTAGTAAAAGAAAAAGCCAATTTTCGCCTCTTGTATCCTCGATCTTGTTCTTTCAGTCACTACCCACAGCTTGTGACCATAGGTGAGGGTAGGGACGTAGATCAACTGGTAAATCAAGAGCTTCTCTTTTACACTCAGATCTCTCTTGAACAAGATGGACCAGTATACCGCATCACCAATCCATTTGTGGATCTCCTGCTCTCTTCTCCCCTCAGTTGTGAACAAGACCCCGAGATACTTAAACTCCGAGAAACACTTGGGGCAGGAACTCATCCCTGACCTGGAGTGGGCACTCCACCCTTTTCCAGCTGAAGACCATAGCGTCAGATCTGGAGGTGGTGATTCTCATTCCCACCGCTTCACAGTCAGCTCCGAACTGTTCCAGTGCAAACTGGAGGCTTGCCTAGATTATTTTGTGCACTGGAATTTAATAGTACAATTTTAAATAGTATATTACTAATAGTAAGAAAGTAAGTAAGTAAAATTTATTCATATAGCACTTTTCACAGATAAAAATCACAAAGTGCTTTACAACACAGGAAATGGAAATATAAAAACAATATAACAGTAAATAAAACAATGTAAAACAATAAAACTATAAAAACAGCATAAGAAGAAATTAATCAAATGCTTTTCTAAATAAAAATGTCTTCAGCTGTTTCTTAAAAGAATCAATGGAGTCCGTGCAGCGAAGAGACAGTGGGAGAGAATTCCCCAACCGTGGTGCCACAGTCTGAAAAGCCCGATCACCACGAGTTTTAAAACGAGTGTGCGGTACCACCAGCAGTCTCTGATCTAATGACCTTAAAGCCCGAGAAGATGTATGTGGTTTCAGCAGGTCAGATAAATATTGAGGAGCTTGACCATGTAGGGCCCTAAAGGTTAGAACTAAAATTTTAAAATGAAACCTAAAATTTACAGGCAACCAGTGAAGGGAGGCCAAGACTGGAGTGATATGCGATCTTCTCTTGGTGCCTGTTAAGAGACGTGCTGCAGCATTCTGCACAGTCGGAAGACGATTTAAGGCTGATTGGTTAAAACAAGTAAAAAGGCCATTACAATAGTCTAAACGAGAAGAAATAAAAGCATGAATAATCATCTCACGTTCAAGCTTTGATACCATTAGTCTGAGTTTAGAAATATTCCGTAAATGATAAAAACAGTTTCGGACCAGCTGCTTAGAATGCTGCTCGAGCGACATCGAGCTGTCAAATATGGCACCGAGGTTTCTAAGGGTTGATTTTACAGAAGGGTCTAAGAAGCTGATATGCTGTCTAATTTCTGGGACCATGTGGTCTGGAGCAATAATTAGAGTTTCTGTTTTATCAGAGTTTAGTTGGAGAAAATTATCATTTAACCATTTGTTGATTTCTGTCAGGCAATTACTTAAATTAGACAATTTATAAAACTCAGACATTTTGAAGGAACAGTATAGTTGGATGTTGTCAGCATAGAGATGATAGGAGATATATTTATAGCGCTTAATAATTTGGCCTAGGGGAAATACATAAAGTAAAAAGAGAATTGGACCCAGGACAGATCCCTGAGGTACCCCACACGGCAAAACTGTTGATTCTGATGTGACATGATTCATGCAAACAGTAAAAGATCTCTCAGACAGATATGATATAAACCATTTTAAAACAACACCAGTAATCCCAAACAAGTTCTTGAGTCTGTTTATCATGATACTGTGATCTACTGTGTCAAGAGCAGAGCTGAGATCCAACAGGACCAGCACTGTATATTCTCCAGAGTCTGCTGCCATCAAGATATCACTAGATACTCTAAGTAAGGCCGTTTCAGTGGAATGCAATTTATGAAAACCAGACTGGAACAGCATTTTTAACGGCATTTTTATCCAGAAAATAGTTAAGTTGTTCTACTACTGCTTTTTCTAAAATTTTCGATATAAAAGGCAATTTGCATATTGGCCTATAACTGTTAGGAAGAGATGGATCCAGCTGGGGTTTCTTTCATTTTGGCTCAACAATAGCTTGTTTAAAGAAGCTGGGGACTGAGCCAGTATGAAGAGAAGTATTTATCATTTCCACAATATAGGGGCCAATTGAATCAAACACACTAGTGAAAAATGAAGATGGAAGGACATCAAGGGGGCTTGAAGTCTGTTTTATATGACAAAGCAGGCATCTGATGTCTTGTAATGTAAAAGGAGTAAAAGAGGACCAAGTATCAGAGGAGAGCAAGTTGAAAGTTTGATATTGAGAAGATGATGGAGAGAGTAGTATAGTATAAATAGTATAGAATAGAATAGTATAAAATGTTGTGTGTGTGCGTCTGCTGTTTGTGAGCTGGAAAGGTGCCAGTGTCCCTGAGACATTTTCACAGCATGCACATAATCATGTGGTAAAAGATTTCAGTCTGTGTAACTGTAATAAAGAAAACAAAATCAAAAATTTTCTGTGTTAAAAATAGTACAGGATACTCCCAATACCTAGCTTCCAAACACTCACTGCTTTTTAACCATTTCCAGTTTCTCATTGCTGCAGTGAAACTGAAATTAATGCCCAGTTCTTACAGGTTTTTTTTGATGATGTAAAGTATTTGCCCCACCATTTTTATTTATTTATGTCATGTACATACGTAAACACTTAATGGCGAGCTCCTTCCATTCCCCAGCTATGCAGTTAATCGTAGCTTTTCCTTCCATAATGTAATTGTCAAAGCACTGATAGGTTACTTCAGAGCGAGATGGGTATTGCTTCCGATAACGAGTTGTAATAACAGCATTTTCAACTTTGGGTGGAGGGCTGCAGTTATCATGATTAGCTGTAAGACATCACAACATGTACACTATTAATTTACACTCTGTAATCTTTTCATAAAAACATGCATCAAAATAATGGTTGAGGTGACTCACATTTACAGATATCATCAAGTGATCCATTTAAATCCCATCGTCCGTCACGACAGGTTAATTCCTCAATCTTAGCAGAGTATCCTTCATTGCAATCAATGAACATCATTTCTTGGGTCTGTCCGTGTTGTTCAGTATTCCCTAGTATTCCTTCCCCATTAGGAATCTCAGGAGCTTCTCGACACTTTTGTTCCTCTAAGGTGGATATGATTACAAACAATCAGGCAAAATATTACAGATGGATGAAATCCATTTCCATATTTAAAAATGTGATCAGAATAAGCAGTGGAAGAAACTCTGTATGAATGCACTTATTGTAAGATATTACAGAAAATATTTTCATACCAGTTTTCTTAAACATAACTGCAGATAAAACTCAAATGTTAAAAAGATGTTTAAAACAGATTTCAAAACTTATATTTTTCTACCTAAACATCTTATACTCCCCATCTTGACATTGGTATTGAACAAGTCACTGTGTTTGCTTCAAGCTAATAACAGAAGATACTTTAATTAGAAACTTTAATTACCAATACAGCTTTCAACTCCAGACCAAACACCGTACACACATGTGGCTTCACCCCACCAGCCTTTGCTGAGAGGTTTGTAACCATCCTCACACCTGAAGTAAAGTTTGTCACCATGTTGCCAAACTTTAAGTCTGCGGTCAAAGCTCGTTGTTGGACATCCTGTTATAGCTATCAGAAAGACAGATATTACATTTAGATATTATCAAAGAGCAGTCAGAATACATTCTTGTGTTATTAGTAGTGATTCATAGATAACATTATTCAACTATCTTTGGACTAGGCTTAAATATCCTTAATACTATTGAATAGACTGTGTAATGTCTGTTATTAAGTGACTAGCAATGAATCCTGCTGACTTTGGCAAACCTCCATTTCGTGTGGTTTTTGATTGTCTTTACGTGAGATGTTTGGATGAAATTTGGTTCATGACTGTCACTACTATTAGACTTTCAGACTGCAGCTTTAGATTCTTACCAAAACAGCAAAAACCTCAGCCACAAGTGAGACCGAGCTTTCAACTTGCATTTGACTTTTACCACTGCCATCTTAATGGATGGGTTCACCCGGGTCTACGCCTTTAGCAAACTAGTGAACTCAGTAGGCATTAACAAACATACTTCTCTTTTGTATTTACCACCCCAATATCAAATTTTTTGAGATGCAGTACAAAAGGTAAATGAAAAGATACAGAAATGATTTGCAAATGTCATAAACTGAAAAATACACAATTTTAGGATTTTTTTTTTTTTTTAATTTGATGCTAGCGACACATCTGAAAGAAGTTGACAAGGAAAGAGTCATCCTTTCTACTAGCATCCCTTCTTATATATTAGAATTGAAGAAATCAGGTGCTGGACCTTTGGGACAGCCGCCCTGTGGAATAGGCTTTTAGTTGCGCAAAGCCTTCCCATGATGTGTCAGATGTTAGTGAGCGAGGACCCAAAATGCAGACTCAGGGAAGCAGAGGGAGCTAAACAAAACAAGAGCTGGTGATTTCAACTGATAAACAGACACAAATCAAATAATAATTTTTTTTATATTTGCGGTTCTATTTCTTACAGGAGCATGTGTAACAGAAAACAATACCTCATCTCATTATTATTATTTTTGTTGTGTATGGTAAAGATCAATATAGACTATCCAGTCACTTATACACTGCAATCCAAAGTGTAATTAAAGAAATATTATATAAATAATACATAAATATCTTATTCGAATGGTTACTGTCATGAGTGAAAGTTAGAAAGTCAGCCACTGGAGTTGGAGCTCCATTCACTCATATCAGCAAGGAGAGAATGGCACAATGTACTGTAAATTCATTAAGATCAAACAGCCTCTGTTTTAATAAAACAGACTTTTACAGCTATGACTCCATCTGTTCTCTGTAAAATGTTATTTACTGCATTAACTGACTTCATGGTCAGTATATAACGTTACTCATATACTGCACTGACATAAGGAATATATATATACCTGAAAATTAAATGTTAGAAAAACAAATTCATTAATTAGAGGCGACCTACTTCTTAACAGTTTTTTTTTTAAATTCTCACTGATGCTTCTGGTGTGAATCTCTCATAAAGAACAGCAGGAGGTTCGCTATGACAAAAACTCCAGACCCTGAGTAAAACATCATGCCCATTATCATGATATGGCAATAGCCAAACTGGCCTCCAGGTGTCACTTTGGAGATTTCAGATTGAGGAAAAAAGATGAATGAAGCAAAACCAGAAGCAAAACATAAGGAACACAAACTCTCAAAATAAAACAGGAAGTGAGATATCACAGAAGACACATAAATGAACTAAATAAAAGGAAGACGACACAAGCATGGAAGACTAAAGGAGGAATCAAACTAATAGAAGTGGGAATTAGGAATAGAAGTAAATGTGAACGCTAAACAAAAAAAGGATTCAAACAGATACTTAAGCCAAGGTTAAAGTCGGATGCAGACATGGACAACCGGAGACCCAAAGGCCCAGTTATTATTCTTCTTTGATGTCTGCTCGACGTCTACCACCAGGTGCAATACCATACAAATTCTTTTTGGATAAGTTAGCTCCGTCAAAAAAAAAATCAGTACCTTGGCACGAAACCTCGCTCTAACCATCTGATGACAAAATTTACGGCACTGGGATCCGAATGAGCCCCAAGCAGATTTGTATGTGTGGAAAGTATAACCTTTTCTTTATTTTCAGGGCAAGAAATCCCAGAAAAAGATGGACAAGGCGATGACATCATTGTCAAGGAAAATGCATGTTACTCTTTGATAAGAGTAACATGCATTGCTTCACAAAAGAAAAATGTTTGTGGAGCTCATCAAGGAATCTAAAGACAAAGATAGACTAAAGATAGACTTCTGTCAGAGGGCCCGGTGGCGCCAGTGTCCGGCAGCCTCGCCTCTGTCAGTGCGCCCCAGGGCGGCTGTGGCTACAATGTAGCTTGCCATCACCAGTGTGTGAATGTGTGTGTGAATGGGTGGATGACTGAATGTGTAAAGTGCTTTGGTGTCCTTACGGACTAGTAAAGCGCTATACAAATACAGATCATTTACCATTCTGTAAAACCAGATGCTTTTCTGCAAGTTCCCCGATTTGAGAGAATTCATGTTGACTGAACTTTCATATTAGCTTCACTTTTCAGTCCTGAAAGCAATGCTCACCTTTTATATACAGTTTATACATTTGTCTTTTGTCATCAGTTGTTTACAACATTTATATTTGTCATGAAAAACAGTAGTCCTTGAATAACTGAATAAATGTATCCTTTTAAGTTTATTGCATTTTCTTACCTGTACATTCATTAGACCTATGCCAGCCATCTTCTCTACAGGTTAGAGTGAAACTTCCTTCATAACCTCTCCTGCAGTTATACTGGACACGATCGTTGTACCTGTATTCAGCCTGAATTTTTCCAGTAATATCTGCATCATTAAACTGTTGCCTCCTGCATTTTATCTCTGAAAGGAACAAAACCACATTTATTAAGCTTCTGCATTTACTTTGATTCAGATAATTTTGTCATGTAAAACATTCAGATACTTTCATATAATCATTTAAGTAAAAGCAGCAGCTCCCCAGTGTAAATGTGATTCCATTTAACAGTTCTGTATTTTATATTTGAATATGTTCAGTCAAAGGACAAGAAAAATGTTCAGTTGTGGATTCAACATCCAGCTGAAAGTTGTTGTGGCAGTAGAAATGTTTCTTGCAGTCTGTACAGAAAATAGTATCCAGTGAGTATTTGTACACTCTTTCGGTTAGTGCTTGGTTAGTACACAAATAAACAAAAAAATGAATGTTATTACCATTTTCTCTCACTATGAACTATCACACAGAGTCTCTAAAATTTATATTGCTGGTTCGTAAGATTTTACTCTATGACTGAATGATCCTTTGAGGCTTCTGTTTGACCAAAGACACTCTGCATTTCTCTCCTGTTTTCTCAAATATGGACTAATATTAAAGAAATTAAAAAGATCCTGTCAGAATTAGAAGAAAAGTGAACTAAACTCCACCATACCTTCACAAAGTGGATTTGGTTCCCATCCATCTCTGGTGCATGTGGCCTAAGTGACGCCATCTTTCCTCTTGTATCCTGATATACATGTGTACCTGACAGTATCACCCAATTTCTTTGTCTCATCACGCCAAGACGCCTCCCAGCGGGACAAAAGTCTATCTTGTGGACGGATACATGTAACCTCTGTAAAGAAAGAAAGACTGGATAATCTTCAAAAAAATTGTTCATCATCCTCATGGCTGATTGAACTACATGAAAGCAAAGAACAGTGAGCTTAGAATATGTGTCTAAAGCTTTTGTAGTTTTATACCTTGACATACTGGTCTAACAGACCACTGTCCATCCTCATTGCAAGTAGTCTCAACTGAGCGCGTGCGGGTTCTCCCAATCCAGTATCTCTCCTCACATGTAACTGTTACCTTTTCACCAGGTGAAAACCTACTTCTATGAGCAGGTTCATATGTGGTTCCTTGGAGTGGTGGCAGTGTCAGCTCACATTTTATTTCTGCATATGATGGGAAATGCAGCACATGAGTTAGTGTGTTGTACCAAGACAGAGCAATACCATAACATCCAAACATCCAGCTCCAGATCTCACTAGTCAGTGGCATTTAATGTATAAACTGTATGTAATTTATGTTTACCTTCACATTCAGGTGTGGGGATCCACTCTGCTCTGTCTCCTGCCTTTGTGCACCTTGAAGGTAATTCTTGAGCACGTTTATGTTGAAGATTGCATTCAAAGTTTAGGATTTCACGTTCATTGTACTCTTTGATATCTCCAAGTACAAAACCATTTTCAATCCTCGGTGGTTCACATTTTACAACTGTTGAAGGATAAAGTCAGAGTCAGGAATAAAACTACAGCAACTGCTCATAGAAAGGTACATAAAAGGTAACTGCTGATTAACCTGTTGTGAAAGGAAGCTTTTTTGATGAAGTAGAAAAGTGAAAGTGATCAAACAAGCAAAGCAGCTGCAATGTTTTTCTCATTAATTACAATTGTAGGCCAATTTTATGATGTTGTTCGTGTTTTTTTGTTTTAGTTTGAAGCTGATATTTTTGGACTTACTATGTCCATAGCAGTGGTGCCTTTATTTTAACCAAATAGGCAAATATTCCCCCAAACTATCTAAACTTAAGTACAAAAATTGTTTTGTTTTTTTTGCCCTAAATGTATTCTGTTTTCATTTTCTATTCCTGTACCTTTAGTACAAATAAACTAATTTTGTATGCAAGTGATAATTATTTAATTCTAAATTTTGACCTAAATAAAATACAGTTCTCTCCTGTTCTCTCCTGTTTTCTCAAATATGGACTAATATTAAAGAAATTAAAAACGATCATGTCAGAATTAGAAGAAAAGTGAACTAAACTCCACCATACCTTCACAAAGTGGATTTGGTTCCCATCCATCTCTGGTGCATGTGGCCCGAGTGACGCCATCTTTCCTCCTGTATCCTGATATACATGTGTACCTGACAGTATCACCCAATTTCTTTGTCTCATCACGCCAAGACGCCTCCCAGCGAGACAAAAGTCTATCTTGTGGACGGATACATGTAACCTCTGTAAAGAAAGAAAGACTGGATAATCTTCAAAAAATTGTTCATCATCCTCATGGCTGATTGAACTACATGAAAGCAAAGAACAGTGAGCTTAGAATATGTGTCTAAAGCTTTTGTAGTTTTATACCTTGACATACTGGTCTGACAGACCACTGTCCATCCTCATTGCAAGTAGTCTCAACTGAGCGCGTGCGGGTTCTCCAAATCCAGTATCTCTCCTCACATGTAACTGTTACCGTTTCACCAGGTGAAAACCTACTTCTATGAGCAGGTCTTACGAGGACACAGAGGACGCAGCGGAGGATCTGAGAACACGGGGCATAGAGGTGGTCCCCACACGCGCAAACTCGGGACCCAGCACCGAAGAGAAAGTATGTAACGCATTTTCATGGCAAGGACCACTCCTTGCCATGTCCCTCTCCATATGTGGATATGGAGAGGGACAGAGGGCCACGAATGGAAACTCGAGTCCGACGCAAACTGCGGGAATATAGAAGAGACTACTAAATATGAATGACAAGGAGGATAGGAGCTACACTCACAGGCAAGCAGTCTAAATAAGAAGGTAATATGCTCTATTTGGTTTCATTGTGTCCAAGTCGGTATGTTGATAGTTCAGTTGATCAGATTTATAAGTTACCATATATGTTGGACTCATCTAGTGTAAGTGGGATATACCAGTTGGACAGTCGCCACAACACTAGGGAAAGCCCCCACCGTATGGTGGGTCCTTTCTCTCCTCTCTCCAACAGGGACCTAAAGGGGTCGAATGATCCTGAGTATATGGACGACTCTATATTGGTTCTATTGTTTTTGTGTACTAATCTTAGTTTTGTGTTAACAGTGGGGGCACAATGTTTTATTTCAGTGACATTTGGAATGCACATTCATGGTTCTGTCTGGCGGTATAATAAAGCCAAATGTTAAAGGTACTCTCACTTAACGTAAATGGACTCCAAAGCCCGACAAAGCAGGGAAAAATTCTTAGTAAACCGAAAAGAGAGGATATTGATGTGGCATTTCTACAAGAGACACATTTGGTGGGCCTTGAGCACGAGACACTTAAGAGACAAGGTTTCAAGCACGCTTATTACTCTTCAAATGGTTTAAGACATACAAGAGGAGGGGGGTTATTTTAATATCAGGGAAGGTCATTCTTGAACACTTTGCTACAATTAGGGATAGAGAAGGCAGATTTATCCTGGTACAGGGCAAATTGGATGGGGAATTGATCACGTTCTATAATGTTTATATTCCTCCAGGTTCCACATTTGATTTCTATATGCAAGTACTCGAGAAAGTAGTGACAGAGGCACAGGGATTACTTGTCTGCGGAGGAGACCTTAATATTACATTAAAACCACATCTGGACGCATCGGGGAAGAGAATATCTCAATCACAAAAACTAACTAGAAAACTGAACCTTCTGATAGAGGAGATGGGATTGGTGGATACTTGGAGGCGTCTTAATCCAACGGCAAGGAACTATACTTACTATTCATCTCCACATGCAACTTATTTGAGAATAGACTACTTCCTCACTTTTGGTACTGATATGAACAAAATACACGAGTACCATATTGGGCCAATGGACCTTTCAATCATTGCCCTCAATATTTATCTTTAAACTCTACTCAAAGGAGAAAAATAACCAACTGGAAATTAAATTCTAGTATACTGAACGAACGGACATGTGAACAGTTGACAAAAGACATTGCTGAATACCTGGAATTCAATGATAATAATGGATTGGATTTATATAGCGCTTTTCAAGGCACCCAAAGCGCTTTACAATGCCACTATTCATTCACTCTCGCATTCATACACTGGTGGAGGCAAGCTACGGTTGTAGCCACAGCTGCCCTGGGGCAGACTGACAGAAGCGAGGCTGCCATTTCACGCCATCGGCCGCTCTGGCCAGCACCAGTAGGCAAGTAGGGTAAAGTGTCTTGCCCAAGGACACAAAGACCAGGACAGAGAGCCCAGGGATCGAACCGGCGACCTTCCGGTTACAGATACACTTCCCCTGAGCCACGGCCACGGTCGCTACGCCTGATAAAGATGAGTTACCCCCACCGATTTTGTGGGATGCGTGCAAAGCAGTGATGAGAGGAAAAGTTATTGCTATAACCTCCAATATTAAAAAATCCAAAGTTGCAAGATTCCAGAAGTTGCAGTTGGAACTATTGTAATTAGAGGCCACACATAAAAATACTATTGATACTAAGACAAAATTAGAAATGGCAAAGAAGAGAAATTTAATTAATGAGATATACACTCATGACATCCAAACGAAATTAATGTTGACCAAACAAAGATATTATGAGGGGGGAGCTAAATATACGAAACAATTGGCATATAGATTTAGGAAACAACAAGCAGACAGAACAATGTACAGGATAAGGGACCCGGAAACCAAAATGGAAATGCAGGGTATAGAGGAAATTAAGGATTGCTTTAAGAGATACTATGAAAAATTATATTCACAACCACCCACAAACAACGATGATCAAATGGAGAGTTTGCTTGACATGTTACACCTCCCTAAACTTACAGTAGAAGAAAACAAATCATTAGTGAAGCAAATTACAAGGGAAGAACTTCACATGGCGATTGGAAAACTTAAGGCAAACAAATCTCCAGGTACAGATGGTTTTACTGCGGAGTGGTATAAGAAATTAGGGGAACCTTTGACACCGGTCTTACTTAAAACATTTAATTGGCTACTTACGAAACTAGAATGTTCCAACTACAGGCCAATAAGTGTATTAAATGTAGATTACAAATTGTTTACGTCAATCATAGCACGGAGACTTGAAGGGTCTAGACCAAACTGGATTTGTTAGGTCGCACCAAACCCACGATAGTGTTAAGAGAACTCTGCAAATTATTAGACATATTAATCTAAATAAAATACCAGCTATATTATTGAGTCTAGATGCTGAAAAAGCTTTCGACTCTGTGAGATGGGAATTTTTATTCCAAGCAATGCTTAGATTTGGGTTTAATGGGTCCATCATTACAATATTGAGGGCTTTGTATAATAGCCCAACTGTAAAAATAAAGATTAACGGTGAACTTTCAGATGCTTTTAAGCTTGAAAGGTCCACAAGACAAGGATGCCCACTGAGTCCACTCTTATTTGCTATTTTTATAGAGCCATTGGCTCAAAGGATTAGGCAGAATGGTAAAATAAAAGGGATTAATATTGCTGGAAGTGAGCAGAAATTGGCCTTGTTCGCAGATGATGTTTTGGTTTACTTATCAAAACCTACTGAATCACTTATGGAGCTCATGTCAGTGTTAAAGGAGTATGGGCTATACTCGAGTCGGGATATAAATTGAATATACAAAAAACCCAAGTTCTTAGTGGGCGACCGTGGCTCAGGGGGTTGGGAAGCGTATCTGTAACCGGAAGGTCGCCGGTTCGATCCCTGGGCTCTCTGTCCTGGTCGTTGTGTCCTTGGGCAAGACACTTTACCCTACTGGTGATGGCCAGAGGGGCCGATGGCGCGAAATGGCAGCCTCGCTTCTGTCAGTCTGCCCCAGGGCAGCTGTGGCTACAACCGTAGCTTGCCTCCACCAGTGTATGAATGCGAGAGTGAATGAATAGTGGCATTGTAAAGCGCTTTGGGTGCCTTGAAAAGCGCTATATAAATCCAATCCATTATTATTAGTAGCTTTTATAGCCCCCCCCCCCCAAATAAAATCTGCACAGCAAACGCAAACTAAGCTGGGACAAAAGAACTATCAAATATCTGGGCATAAACTTATCAATGGATACAGGGATATAGGGCAAGGGCAACCCTTGGATAGTAAGTTCATTAAAGATATGGGAAAGAGTACTTAAAAAGTATCAATTAAACCAGAGGGCCGGATTCCTTAAGTGGTTTGCATATGACCCAGAATTTTTGCCTAGTAAGAGCGACTCGACATTCAAAACATGGGCAAATAAAGGTTTCACCACATACAGTACCTTGTTGAAAAATGGAAAAGTGATGAGTTTCCAGGACCTTAAGAAAAAGTTTGGGTTGCAAAATCAAGATTTTGTTAGATACTTGCAACTGAGGGACTTCCTGAATAAAAAGTTAAAAAATCCTCAGTTATCGACTGGGAAGGAAGAGATTATATATATATTCGAGAATGCATATAGAGATGCACCCTATCAAAAAATTATTTCCAAATTATATTGTTCACTGATCAATCTACGGGATGATGATACAAGATATGTTAAAGCAAGATGGGAAACAGAGAGCAATCTATCCCTAACAGGAGAGGAATGGGATGGGATCTGTAGGCAGCAGTGGCCAGTAACAAGCTCTCCCTCGTGGAGGGAATTCAGTTGGAAGAATGTAATTCGTTATTTTATTACCTCAGCTCAAAAATCCAATTATTCTCAGAATACAACATGCTGAAGGCATTGTGGACATGCAACAGCAAATCATTTCCACATTTTTTGGGAATGTCCCCGTGTGGTTCCATTTTGGAAGGAAATACATAAGGTCATGGAAACAATCTTCCAAAAGAAAATACAATTTCATTTTGCATTATTGTACCTAGGCAACCTAGAGAGTCTTAATCTATGCAAACTGGATAAATATTTGTTCAGTGTGCTGTCAGTAGCTTCCAAAAAGGCCATAACTCGCCTTTGGCTTAAAGAGGATGCTCCTACTATAGATGAATGGATTGATGTGATATATACTATTTTTGTTATGGAAAGAATAACTTTTAGGCTAAAGTGGCAGGCGGACTAATTTGAAGAATATTGGTTGAAATGGTTGAAATAAGTACAAAATGGGAGGCCCAATTTTGTATAATGTCATTTTATTTCTTGGTTTGTTTCGTTTGTTTTTGTTTTTGTTTTTGTTTTGGTCCGTTTGTCTCTTTTGTTGTTGTTTTGTTTTGCCTTGCTTTCCCCCCCACGGTGATTAAGTTGAATTTGTTGTACATGTTGTATAAATAAGAAAACTAATAAAACATAAATTAAAAAAAGAAAAAGAAAGTGTACATAAAAGGTAATTGCTGATTAACCTGTTGTAAAAGGAAGATTTCTGATAAAGTGAAAGCGATCGCTTTACTGGCAAAACCAGCAAAGTAGCTGCAATGTTTTCTTATTAATTACAATTTTAGAAGTTCAGTTTCAGAGTTGCTGCTCTATTCTCTATCAGGTGGTTGGTGATTGTTTGGCTGTTACTATTTAACTGCTGAAAGAAGGCGCTTCTAAAAGCAATCTTTGCTTTACTGTCACATTTTGGATTGCCGTACTCCAAAGCAGTGGCAGTCCTAGCCTGTCTGGTGCCCTTGGCAAACACTCACCACCACCCCCCTCCACACACACACACACACACACACGCACACACACACACACACACACACACACACACACACACACACACACACACACACCATATTAAAGATTGTACATCAACATAAAACTGTTGTCGCAACCATACTGAATTTCACCAGAGAAACACACACACACACATATGAAGAGAGAGAGAGTATGCATAGTATGCAAATGGCTACCAAACAGCCATCATAATTCGTCATACAATGAGAACAGGACAAATCAGCAATTGACAATGACTAATTAATATTAAAATCTGCAACATAATGTATTGTTTGGAGTTTAGTCTGTTACTGTTATCATGGTCCGGGTGTGTGCCAGTGTGTCTCCCTCCGAGCCGGCATCTCCACCCCTGGGAGGGGCCTCAGTGTTCTGCTGATTGCTCACACCTGTGGGTAATTTAGCCGGGGTCTCATAAGGCCAGCGCACTCAACCTCTCTTCGCCAGATTCTCAGCTAACCCTAGTTAGTGCAGGGCACCACCGTGATTTCGCACTCGCTTTGTGAATTACCTTGTCTCATCATGTGTTTCTCTCATAGCCACACCAAGCTGCCAAACACTAATCTCTGCCGAAGAGCTCCAACCCGGACGCTGGACCACCTGACAGTCCCACAGGTTGTTCACCCGAACCACCTGCCTGCCTCCCTGCCAGGAATCTCGGACCACACACCCGGACCACTCACCCCTCCACGTCACCACCGACCGACTCTGACCCTTTCCCTGGACCCAGTGTGACTCTCCCTCCAGCCCAATCCCCGGAACTGCTGTTTCCACTGACCAAGACCAGATTGCTTACTTAGCCCAGGCTGCTTAAGACCCCTTTGATTCAGTTGTGGCACTTCGCACTTGTTAACCTCACTTTCCAGTTTATGAACACTTACTGAGTAAATAAACATCGTCTCTAAAACTACTTACGTGCTGTTCGGCGTCCTGCATTTGAGTCCTTTCCCCTTTGAGGCGGCCTCGGCCGTGACAACTGTTACTATTTTTACCATTTCTTCTCAGAGCAACTGCAACCCACATAATTTCCTAAGTATTCTGATTCTGATTGTGGAGGTCTAAGTGCTGTCTCCGTAAGTCTGCATTTAAGTCCTACCCTGCCTGCATTACACAGCCAGTTCATGACACCAACTCCTGGATAAACTCCCATTATTCACATTAACATGAAAACCATCAAAATATCATGTAATAATTGAAATCACTTGAAGTACTTACCTTGGCTCTTCACTGACGTCAGTGAACATATGCACAAAAACAGGATTTTGGTTATTGCATGCATGTTGTCTTTGTGCGTCTGATCCCTCAAAGAAAACTAAACACTGCAGACAGAGAAAAAAAAGGTTGTTCAGTGATTTACACAAGTCTGTTCCTGCCTCCAAAAACAATCTCAGGCTCACTGGAAACAGATATAAATACTGTGATCACATGCTGCCACTTTAAAGACACAGTGGGACCCTAACAAACTGTTATAAACACCATAATGCTTCCCTAATGTTATTACACATAACAAAGTCACACACTGCAAAAACTAGATAATTAGATAACTCAGTAGACAAATAGTAGATTTTTCAGGCTGTTATATAAATTATTATTATGAGGTCATGTCATGCCATTAAAAATACAATTCACCAGTTGGTGAAAACACAAATATTTATAAATGGCTAAATGTTGATTTGATTTTTTGTTCCCGTTAATCATCTGCAGGAATCAATAGAGCAAAGAACATTTTTAACCTTACCAAGGTTTGAGTTGGAATTTTTTTTTTTTAAAGTACAGCAGTCTGAATATAAATGAACAGTCTGAATTACACTTAGGTACAAACTGGGAAAAACTTGGATAATCTTGTAAGAAAGGAGAGAACTGCATTCGAAATCAACAGTGATGAACTCTGACCTCTTGCAAACTACTAAAACAAAATGTAGCTGTTGAGCAATGCAGGATTTGCCTTTGTTTCTTAATATGGCCTCACGCTATTTATTCTACTTCTTGTCAACATACTTTACAGAAAAAGTAAACAGAAAGTTCAAAAACATGTCCCTGCCAGCACCACTTTTTTCCAAGAAATGTAAGACAGAAAGTAGGCCAGTGCTCAATGTTTTCACTCTTTAACACGTGTTTTCCTGTGTTTGCTCCAGAAAACATTGGTTTGATTTTATGCATATGTAGGAAAGTATAAAAAAGTTGTTTGTCTATTAATTAATATATTAATTTATAGCATTCAAAGCAGGAAGAGACAGAGAGGACAAAGTAATGTTGAAATGATGTAGGCTTTTGAAAAATTAAAGAAAACTCAAGTAACTCTCGTGAATGAAATGTCCATACAGTTTTGTCCTTTCCTTCATCTTCAGTCATTTTGATTTGAATTGTAATGTAAATCTAACCTTTTCCAGCTTTTGTACTTAACAAGTTCCTTCTAAAGAAGAGATTAATGTCACATTTGGTTGGTCTAAAACATTTGTGATGGTAAATTGTGAATCATTTTCTAATTTTGATGTTTTGCCATTGGACACGACTTGGTTATAACTCAAATATACATGTTCAGTTAAACCTAAACTCATACAAGATAAGAGGCCAGACTTGGAAACAACTGCACGTCACTAATGTTGTGTTGTGTCCCGAGGCAGTCAGTATACATGAGATTTGTTTTGTGTGTGTAGTGACAGGAACAACTACAAACTCAATAAAGAGCCAAATGTTTTCTGTCTTTTATTGGAAATGAAATCAGAAGTAAAGAAGGAGTGAATACAGATTGTCAGCAAACATTTGTCTCTAGTGATCCACTCCATATTTGCAATTATGTTCAACCTAAAAACAGCAAAAATGGTCAAACTCACATCTCTTTCCATAACCATTTCCATTTACCCTGCAATTCATCTGATGTAAGAATTGTTGTATAGATTTAGTAATATCATGTCCCAGATTAGGAGCGCTTATTATGACTTCAGTATTATACTGTAATAAATTTTGCCAAAAATAGTTTTGAGATCAGAAATCATAATTAGAATTTGTAGTTTGTCTCATTTATTTTTCTAATGAATTTGAATGTAATGAATTTTTCACACAGGGCCGGGTAGGTTTGGATGGATTTTCCCTTAATAAAAAAAATGATAATTTAACAACTGTGTTTTGCATTTACTCCTGTTATATTTGTCTAATATTAAAATTTGTTTGATTGTCTGAAACATGTAAGTGTGACAAATATGCAAAAAATCAGGAAGGGACAAAAACTTTTTCACAGCACTATAAAGTTGAGAAAGAAAGAAGGGGGGGTCCAAATTCAGGGGCTGCATCTTCCTGCGGACCTGGCCTTCGCGGTCTACGTGGGCTGGATCCTCTGACGGCCAGTTAGACCGGAAGTGAGCGGCTGTGAAATTGGATGGTCTAGCCTTCAGATTTGCGTCACCACCTGTCTCGGTGGAGTTCAGCTGTCTGCTCCTTACTTTTTAAAACATAACAGGACACTGGCGCAAATTCTCGATCATGTCACACTTCTGTTTAATCAGTTTTCCGTATGTCGTTTATTCAGCTGTAATCTCAGCCAAACCGATTTACTCACTAGCAAATAAAACATTGAAAAAAGCCAAACAATAACATTTTTAAGTTATCTAAGTGACCTATATATCATGTTTAACCTGAGTAGCGACAACCTGTTCTCACGTACTCTAGTGAACCGCCTAGCTATCGAGCTGGTGGGTAACAGACTTCTCCGAAAACGTCAGAGCTCTTTGCAAATATGTGATGTCTTAAAAAAACGAGCAAATATTTGAAGGTTACACAGCTACATTCTTGCCTGAAAATATCTTAAAAGTTTATTTTGTGACCCAGAAAGAGTAATAAGAGTAATATTAAAACTAAGTAGCAGCCGCCTATGGGCAGAAATCTGTGCCATCAGAAACTGAATTTGAATAAGTTAAATTTGAATTTGAATTGCTCGGATTGAATCTGAATTGTAACTTGAATAAAAGCTTTTAAAAACTGAATATGAATTAGCCTAATTTGAAATTCAATTTATTGGTTTGAAAATGATCATCACTAAATTGAAATAGAATTTTATATTTTGAAAATGAATTTATTTGCTTTGTAACCGTATTTTATCCTTTAAAAGTTTAGCTCTCGAATAAGTTCAGATTCACTTCTCACCATTCAGTTTCAGTTCTACAATTTAATTTCAGTTCCAAAATTCAGTTTTTTGGGACTTACATCCGGTTCCGGTTCAAGAGTAATCGAGCGCAGATTAATAGAACTACGTTTTACTAGCGGACCGAAAGTGTTACTGACGGGAATCTACAGCATCTTTAGCTGAATTAACACTTCAGAAGTCATTCGTCATGTCGAATGACCAGCGGATAAACTCTCAGGTTGGTAATAAATGTATTACATGTATAAGAACAAGCATCATGTTAACAAATGATAGCCGTAAGGTAACTTTTATGCTCATTGTAGCTGTTAGCTAAAGACGCCAATTTAGCGTAGTTTGCCCTGGATTCAGCTTTGACAACAAATATGATCGACTGTTTCTAGTAGAATTCTAAAGTTGTCATCTTGTACCCTGTCAGAGCCCTGTATGCTGTAGAGACCCCTATAGTAGGGAAACATGCAAAACGGTGTCCAAACCTTTGTATTTTAGCTTTATTTATGTCTTGCACAGCATCCCAACTCTTTAGCTAACTTAATAACTTTAGCTAAAGTGAATAGTCTAATTCATTAGTGCAGCATTACTGGATCACCTCTGTTTGAAGTGATATGATATGTGACTATCACTGTGTTTAACTATCATAATAATTCTTAGGGTACCGAGTGCATGCTTAATTATTTGTTTTTTTTTAAAACATACTTCTCCATTGCTATGTTTGACAGGCTGAAGTTGTCGGGTCACCTCCTAAATCGATCATCTGTTACAGGTGTTTTGTGCCAGAAATGGAGTGTCCACTGAAGACTGAAGATACTGAATCTCTACGCCTTGCCATTGATCCCTCTCGTGCCTTCATCTAGACAAGAGACATTAACTTAACCACTCTCATATGCTCTGTACCTACATCACCTTCCCTGACAGTCGTAGCTTGGCTCATCTGAGGGGTGAAATTATAAGAATGTGTTATTTTGCAAAGTGCTCTCTAGGGTTCCTAAATAAAATATGACATTGAGGTCATTTCTTTTGAATTAATCCCTTCTTCTGAAATATAAGAACCTCTCCTGGTTTTAATGGCACTTTGGATTTCCTTACTTTCTGTTCCACTCCCAACCCCAAATAGATGCTGACAAGCTGACACAGTAACATGGAAGAGGGAAAGAAGTTGGAAAGGACTACTACAAATAAATAATGCCTAACAATGTAAAATAAGAACAATAATAATAATAAAGATAAAAGATGAAGTAACAATTTTTTAGTTTCTTGTTTATTCCAAATGATCATCCAGATGTCTGTGACATGTGATGACAAACACCATAATGGAAGGCCTTTGTCATCACATGCTTAAACTCATCATATATTTTTGCATATGTTGAACAGGCAGTCAGACATGCTGTAACGGTGGGGTAGAAAACTGCAGAACACCATACGGCAGGGGTCTCAAATTCCAGTCCTTGAGGGCCACTGTCCTGCAACTTTTCCATGTGTCCCTGTTGCAACACACCTAGTAGGTCATTAGCAAGACTATAGAACTTGACTGCATGCTGAGTTGGCAATTCAGACATTTGATTCATGTTACAGCAGCTCATGAGTGAATGAACATGGTGCAATAAAAGTATTTTTTTTAGAAGTATATGTTTCCAAATACATACATTTACTTAAATTTCCTTGAGTAGGGTTAGGGGTTGCCACCTCAGCATGCAGTCAAGTTCTATACTCTTGCTAATGACCTACTAATTGTATTCAGGTGTGTTGCACCAGGGACACATGGAAAAGTTGCATGACACTGGCCCTCAAGGACTGGAGTTTGAGACCCCTGTCATACGGAATATGACAGGTGTGGTTGAACTGCATGAAGACTCCTAAGTTTCTCTTCTGGCAGGACAGGAATGTAGCCTTGTCCTGTGAGCCACCGTAAGGGTGTACTTGGAGTAGAACTGGACTGTCACCGGCCTCAGGCTCTTCACCTTTTCAAAGACAAAGCAGTCATTTAGATAAAATATTAGATATTGTTTACCTGAGGATCTGACACAGACTGATTCATGTTCTACACAGTTCTGACAAGTTCATAGAAATTTCTGTTCAATTAGAACCAAGTATTTGAGGTGAATTAACACTTCTGAATTGTTAATTCAGCTAAAGACGCTGTAGATTCCCGTCAGTAACACTTTCGGTCCGCTAGTAAAACGTAGTTCTATTAATCTGCGCTCGATTACTCTTGAACCGGATGTAAGTAAACTGAATTTTGGAACTGAAATTGAATTGTAGAA